TCAGACGGCCTCGATAAAAGTACACGGCTAATACCCCGTGTACCCCAACCCCTGATTGTTATTACTCCAGAAGTGCACCAATCCAGAGTTTTATTCACCTAACCCCTAGTTTTGAAAAAATAATATTTGAAATAAGAGACTCGTAGATCAGACGACCTCGATAAAAGTACACGGCTAATACCCCGTGTACCCCAACCCCTGATTGTTATTACTCCAGAAGTACACCAATCCAGAGTTTTATTGCTCATCCATCTTGCACTTTACGTGATTTACAGGTTTAGACTTGGTGATGACTCATATGCAAACAATGCAATCAATCCAATATCAATTCAATCAAGTAAAACAACTTTCCAATTTCAATTCTTGATTTATTAGTGACAAGCAACATTTATTATTTATTCCTTTAACTACCTCGGTGTATAAACACCTTGAGTGCATAAGGCACCCTAAAACCTTAACCCCGTCTTATAAGACTTGAATTCTTCCTTTACTCATCCTATTATAATAATCATGAATGAGTAATAAATAAATCATTCCACATATTCACATACCTTTGCCTCTAAGTGCATCTTGCAAAGTTAATGCATAAATAATATTTACAAAGTAGAATAGTGCACATCATAGGGAAATCACAATGTATAACCAAACAATCATTCCCAGTCTTCTCTATACATCATGATACTAGGTTCTCGTTACGTTCCTAAACATGCTTCTAAAGGCAAGGTTTCGTAACTCATACGTACCTTGAGTAAACGAATTGGTATGCCACTTTACTATCTAGAAATCACCTTCAATAAACTCCTCTCCTAAACCAAACAATAACATCTCAATCAATACCCAATCAATCAAATTTACAGCAATACTAACTTACTTTAAAACCTTCAAAATCCAATTAATAAACAACATTAAACCTTCCCTTTAATTAAAATCAAAAGTTTATTTATAGTTCTTTAAATTTCCTTCATGAAAACCTTAAAATACACCTTTTCATGGAATTACAGCAAGTTTAAAACTTTATAAAAATCTGAAAATTATTTTAAAACCCCTAATAATCTCCCTTTTTAATGGGTGATTAAACCCTCTTCATAAAACATCAAAAGTAGTACTTAGAAACTATTTCCAACACTTAAAACTTCAATAAAAACATATATTTATGCTTAATTAACTTTAAACATAATTAATTTTATTAATCAAACTCAAGGATAATATTTTAATTGTAAAAAAAAAAAACTTCGTCAAAATCAAAAACTGCTCGAAAATCATATTTAGGCCTTGTTTGGCATGTGGCTGTTGGCGGTTGGCTGTTGGCTGGTTCACTTGGCTTGTTTCACCAGCTGGTATGTTTGGCTGTTTATAATGGCTTTTGAAATTGGCTGTTAAAGCTGGCTGTTTATAAAAGTGTTTGGTAAATTAATTGTCGGTAGTTGGCTGTTTATTAGATAATTTGTGGGCCAACAAGCCAAAAGCCAACAAAAAGCTACTCAAAGCAGCTTTTTCATTTTGGCTTAAAAGCCAGCTTTTTCACTGGCTAAAAAGCCAATTACCAAACACATTTTTTGGCTTTTTGACCTCATAAAAAAACCAAAAGCCAAAAGCTAACCAAAAAGCCATTTACTAAACATGGCCTTAGAGGCTGAATTTGGCCACGAGAGGGTGGTGTTCAAAACATGATTTAAAAATCAATCATTCAAAATACTTTTATTAAAATAAATACCTTCAAACATAATTTATTTCAAAATCATAATTCAAATCAATTTAATTCAATCACCAATCAAATTATGTAATACATGTTATTCAAACCAATCACTTTCAAAGGCATCTAGCCACCTAAACGTACCTTGATCCTTGCTAGAAAAACCACACAAAAAGAACCTCAAGAACCTTAATCAAACACACCCTACAAATAAATATTAACCTTAATCAATATAAGATTAACAAATAATTAAAAACCCCCAACAATATGTACATGAACCTTTTAAATTAATTTCTCATAAACATCATTAAAAATCTGATTTTATATAATTAAAACTACTCATAATAATTATTTATAAATCCCCCATAATAATTATAATAATTGAATAAGAGAAGAGAATAAGATTAGGTAAGAAACAAAGGAAAAGAGAAGAATTGGATTTGCGTTGGAAGAATAGGCAGAACTTGCAGAGGCTATAACTCCTTCGTGGATTTTTCGAGAGGAACAATTTTCTGTGAAACGTCAATACCCCAAAACTGACCAGAAGTGCCCTAAAATTGGCTTCAAAGATAAACGGGATAATTTGTGTAAAATTGAGGAGAAAAAAAGAAGAGAATTGGTGTGAAGAATGTGAGAGTTAATAAGGGGTATTTATAGGCTAGCTCATGCAAGAATTATGGCAAGAGAATTTGGGAAGAATTATGGTAAGTAGGGTTTATGGGATTACTTGGAGAAGTGAGTAAAAGAATTAAGGAAAGTTTTGATATTAAAGAGATTGTGTATAAATGAATATGGAAGGTATGTATGTCATGAAAAATATTAAGGAAATTAGAATACTTGGGGAATAATTAAGAAGAATGAATGGCAAGAAAATATGATGATTAGATATTAAAAAGATGGAGTATTAAAATTAAGGAAAATAAGAGATTTTGGGAGATAATTAAAAATATAATTTTTACCAAATAAATTCCCCCAAAATAATTCATGAGGGCCAAAAAATATTGAGCTTACCATAGCTCAAATTTTTGGAATCCTATAAATATATTTAGGAAGTTTTTGCTCGGTTTTTAAGGAATAAAAATAATTGTATAAAAATATAGAATAAATAATTAAATAATTAATTAATTAAATACCAATTATTTACCAATAAATAATCAAGAAAAATCAGATTTTCCATACATGGAAAATCCGAAAATCCTAAATAATTAATAAAATATTATTTTGCTTTAACTAAAATATCCGAAATATGTAAATAATCCGGTTTTTAAAATAGGATAAATGGATAATATATCTTATCCAAAATAATGATTAGTTTTCAAAATACTTTTGGCGCCAAAATTCAAATATTATTTTGGCTCCAAATAATAAGTTTACTAAAATACCCTTTTTATAAAATAATTCTTAATTAATTAATTAGGAAAATACGTATGAAAATACGGGGTATTACACTTTTTCCTCAACATACGCCCAAGCTACAACATTTATTATGCAAACCTTGAGAAACCTATTCCTCTTATATTTTCCAAAAGTTTAAGTTCCATTTTCTAGTTAGATTTTCTAGCCCCCAAAACTTTGTATAATATATATAAGATCATTTTTTGTATAATAAATTACCTCATCACTAGTTAGATTTTCTAGCCCCCAAAACTTGACTTTTTTTTTACTCTTTTAGTTTTGTAATTTTGAATAGGAGAATCAAGTCCTTGCATGCTCGGGGCAATTCTAGGTACCCGACTAAAGATAATTGCCTAAACAAAAATAGAAATGTATTAATATGTATTTATTTGGGCCTAAACAATAAAAAATCAAATTGACAAATAAATTTCAAAATATACCTCCAAGACAGGAGCAACACTAGTGAAAACATGTTGATTCCCTTTTCCTTCTCCAAGGAATTTCATTATCAAGTTCAAAGCAATTACAAGATGGTCAAACACGGCTTTTGCCCAATTAACCGTGTTGACCATCTCCAGATCATTGGCCAACCAAAAAAACTTGGGTTGGACAATTTGGTAATTAGTTGAGGGAAGTAAAACTTGATCATTTATGTAAAGTGTCATTAACTTCCTAAACTCTATTTGATCATTTTCATTTTCAATCTTCATTTCCTTCAACCAAGCCCTTAACTTGCAAGTTCTCAACTTTTTTTTTTTAATCAAACTCAAACTCTAGACGCTTCAAATACTCGGGAAGAGACTTGGCATTATCAGGAGAAACATATTCAGTCCCCGTATTTTCTATACCTAGGACAAACGCAACCTCCTCGACACATAACCCAAAGCATACATCAATGCTAAAATTAAATGAGTTCTTCCCATCAAACAAGCATGCTAAACCATAAACCAAAGTCCCACTTGATTCTTTAAAATTTTCAATTTTTACAAGTTTGGAAAAAATTGAAAATTCCATCAAGTTTGTCTTTCAGGTCCAGTTTCATTTTACCCAAATTTGAAGACAATTTCAAAATTTGATTTGAGGAAGTCATGGCTGTCCTGAGCTTAGAACGCGCAATAGTGGGATCAGTACTAGAAGTTACCTGCACAAAAAAGAGCTATGTATCACAAGAATAAGATTTATAAAAAGCCTCATATAGAGAACATACATTGGAGATTGGCAAAATGGCAGAGATCTATCTTATGTTCTCTTAAAGGTAAAAATAAGAAAGAGCAAACTTCTTCACAAGAGATATGACAAAATTTGATAGAAGCACTTGCTTGAGTAGTAAAACTAGAACTAGAAACAGGCAAAGTATAAAAGGACTCAAGGTCTTTATTAAGTTGTCGTCGAGCCTACCAAAGATAAAATTCTATCTTGGTCTCACTAGCTAATAGCAAACAAAATCATGATCCAAAAAGTAGAGCACCTGATCCAACAATCATAATGTTTCTAATGCCTAATCCGATTAATCGTTATTATATGTATGGTTACCTGTAAACATTTTAATATCAAAGTGTATGCACTAAATAAAATTAAACGGGTATTGGTAACAGTCACACAGTAGATGTAAATTCAACATATTAGATGTAAATTCAACACGTCACCATCTACATAAATTGTGTATTGTTAACCAAGTAATTAACTAACCAACACATATTTGATGTGAAATACATAACGCCACTGCCTACACAAAACATCTATACAAATTAAGTATGAATGCTAAAGATGTATGATACTTGTAGTAAAAATCACGATTAATTCAAAATATCAACCCATAGTGTAAAAACTTGTTATTTTATACTTGTATATCTTTTTTTTTTTCTTTTCAATGTTAAAAATAAGGAAATTTTGACATTTACTACCAGGTAAAACACCTCGCTTCACATTTACTACCGGTTAATTTTTTTTTTTTTACTTTGCTACCACCTAAATCAGAGTTTGTTAAAAATCACTACCACTTGTCTTACACCGGTAGTATTTTCGTTACCACCACCCCAACCACCATCCAGCCACCACCCAACCACTGTCTAGCCACCACTCCTTCTCACCCACCAGCTGCCCAATTCACCGCCACTGTTCAACATCAAACCCACCGTAACCACCACCCAACCACCGCTCCTTCCCCACCATCAATTACCAACCCTTTCGCTGCCCCTTTCCCTTGTTCCCTCGCATCACCACTAATCGGCACCAACACCCAATCCCAGCCACCGCGAGCCGCCGCACATAGCAATCGAACCCAAATTTGCAACCCCAGCCCCGTTCAAACCCCAGCAATCGAACCCAAATTCGCAACCCCAACCCCGTTCGAACCCCACAATCGGCACACAACAATCAAACCCAAAATCGCAATCCCAGCCCCGTTCAAACCCCAGTAATCGAAGCCAAATTCGCAACCCCCAAGGCCTCAACGACAATCGGCGCCGGTGTCACGATCCCAGCCCCCTTCGCAGCCCCTTCCCCTCGAAAACCCGCCTCGATCCCAACCAAAAACCCTAATTGATCCGAGCAAATCTCAAACCCCAATTCAATTAAGCTTGTGGGTAACGAGAGTGGAGAATGTGTGTGAAGGAGAAGGAGCAAGAGTGGTTTTTGTGGAGTTTTCCGCCGGCGAGGTGGAGGACCATGGGGAGGTGGCGCCGGCGGTAGGAGGGGGAGGGTGGCTGGTTTTTGTTTTTAATTTTTTTGTAAACTGATAGTAAAAAAAAAAGAAAAAAAATAAACCGATAGTAAATGTAAAGCGAGGTGTTTTTTTTTTTGTTAGCAAATGTCAAAATTTTTTACTAATGTGACAACTAATTTTGAATATAACACACTAATAACTAGTCCAGAAAAACTCCACTTTCAAGGGCAAAAGACAGGAAAAAACGAAAGGCCAAAACTTGCCAGCATCCCTTCCCCAAGCTCCATCGACAAAAAACGAGGAGAGAGAAAGTGTTTAGCTTCCTAAAGTCGTAGTTACGCAGTTTTGCAGTGGATATCACTGCTATTTATATTTCTATTTTTAATCAATTTTGTTAATTTCTCTCTTCTTTCTCCGCCAAAAATTCTTTGTTTGGAGGAATGAGTTGCTGCTAACCTACTTACTTCGACGCGATCTTTGATGCTTCACTACTACGCCGATTTTCGATTGCTCTTAAACCCTAATTGTTTAGCAGGTAATTCTCTGAATTGAATGAACTATTCCCTTTTTTTTATTATTATATTTTGTTGGGTTTTATGGAACTTTTCTGGGTATTTTTTTTTGCTGTTTTTTTGTGATTGGTCATATTTTGAATTGCTTTGATTTTGTTTGTTACAAAACTTCCGTTCTTGATTTTGTGGGTTTTGTTCTAGTATTGAATTGGGCATTGGTTAATTTGATGCTATGTAATTGAGAATTGTGTGTGTTTTAGTTGATCCAAGTTGCAATTTTTCAATTTTTGTACGAAACTTGTTTTGATTGAGTTGATGGGTTTGAATTGATTGAAAGGTTGGGTAGGATGGAAAGAAGCAAAGAATTAGAGATTAGGAGGAGACCTGAAACTAAATTGTGGCAATGAATTGTTAATTGTGTCTTTTAGAGCTCTTAGATTATCTAGGTTGGGAAGTTTTGCTGTATTGTAAGCTTAGGGGAGTGGATATTTTAATAATATTGTTGGAGGAATGTTGATGGAATTTCTGCCAAGAATTAACCTCACTGAATAGAGTAAACTGATTAATTGGAGTTGAGGACAGTCACAAGTGAGTGAAAAGACAGCTGGCAATTGACAATTGATGGTTTTGTCGCGTGCTGTCTGTAATTCTCTGTGCAGCTGTTGGAGCTGTAAGATACTAAGTGCTTTACTCTGTATGGAGGAATTTGTAAGAATTGAAGATAAAAGCTTTGAGGGTGAGGAAAGGAAGTAGAAAAAATAGCAAATTAACTTGGTTGTAGCTACTCATTGGAGAAGAGGGTACGGGGTATTTATGTAAAGCTGTTACATGCTTTGCGGGAACGGTTCCAAAGTTACATGCTCCATCACAGTAGGAGGAAAACTTCTAGCAATTAAATGAGCTAATGTGTTACCCCCCCCCCCCCCTCTCCTTCTGACACGACTACAAAGAAAATACTCAAAAGAAGATGCAATTCTACAAGCATAATCTGTAAACAGAAAAATATAGTTAAAACCTTCCTGCTTGCCTCTGATCTTTTGCACTATCCCAAGTGAGTCACTTTCCAACCATACTTTTTGATAGGCGAAACGACTTGCTAATTCCAAACCAAAACATGCAGCAGCAGCCTCCGCAACACTCGGCTCCCATTTCCCAACTCGCCTTCTAACAGCAGTAGCAAGGACAGTTCCAGTAGAGTCTCTTATAACAGCCCCCAAGCCCACCTCAGTGTCATGTAAAATAGCAGCATCTCCGTTTTTACACATATTTCCGTTTTTTAAATTTTGCAACGTTTGCACTTTATACACTATTCACACTCTTCTGTAACCATATATTGTGATTATTTTTAGGTCAAATTTGAAAAATTTTGACCATAAATTACCGTAAATCTATAAAAGATAGTATAGTAAAGAAAAATAGCCACTTTATATTTTGTTAGACTCGTCTTTGTTATTCTGTTACTATTATTGTTATTATTATATAATTAAAGTTTTTTAAGGGTTAAATTGTGCTTTGAGAAGCGTAATTACCCTCATGTTGCAGTGTTAAATGAACGGAGGATGTATATAGACTAACATGCTAAATGTGAATTAAAGTAAGAAAACCACAAAATATTGAAACATTAATATTGATCAACATGGTCCACATCTATTTAGGTTATATAATTTAAAAAAAATTTCGACCCCCATTTTAAAAATTTCTGGATCCACCTCTGTTTATTTTGTAATTCCATGGAAAAGAGTGAACTCAATACACAAAAAACTAACCTGATGACCAAAATCAACCTTGTTTGCAATAGTATTTCCTACTGTAAATAGGTACTTGGTTTTGCAGGGTGTTTTTAGGAGTATTAAATTACTATAACAATAGAATTTGTTATTATCTTCGCTTATTTTCACTTTATAAAAAATATTTAAGTGTGAAAATTATGGTGTTTTGGGGATTGAGGAAATATGCTATTGGATAGGGCGATGTGGAGAGAGAAAATTCACTTCAACGACGTGTCGTATATTTAACTTTTTAATTTATATTCGTTTTAAAGTTTATTTTAGCCCACCGATGTTTTATGAACTGTATTGTTTTCTTTTGCTAAAATTTTCTCAAACCTTTATGTTTTTAACTTAACATTTTAACCATTCTCTTAAAACTTTCTTGAATTTTATTCATGATTCTCCTTTACAACTTCCTTATTTTTCTTAAATGCTCTTTCGTTTACTCACTTTATTCACCTGTTTTCAAATTAATTTAAATGATGATTTTGTTATGTCCGTTTCTTTATATTGTATGATTCCTTATGACGATTCATGTTAGCCTACCCCAAATCATTTTGGGGCTAAGGCTTTGTTGTTGTTGTTGAAAATTATCAATTAAATAGCTAAATTTCCTTTATATATTGTACATTTCATCTATATACAATATACACATAGATAGATTACCTTATCAATGTAGACCTAATACTTTTCGCTTAATGGAAGATCCCTTTCTTCATTGCTTTTGAGTTACTAGCTCAAATTGAACCGGCAATTGATGAATACCTTACTTTTATGATTTGGATTTTTTTTTTTTAATAAAATAGTCGAGTTTAATTCATGGACACACCATGCCTGTCACGAGTTCTTAAATCTGAATGACATTTGTTTATTCCATCCTTTTTTTTACATGCTGTGTGTGTACGTATTGATAATGAAATTGCATCAAGTAATTTTTTATTTATTTATTTTTTATCTGAATGTACACCACTTATTATTTCAGGTAAGAATATTGTACTGTATGCTGCGTGATGATCATGCGATAAGGTATTTTATTTATTTGTGCAAACAACTTGCAAACTGCTATTCATGGCTCGGAGAGGAAATCAACCGAAAAGGGGTATTGATCAGACTTCTTCAAAGAGTAAAAAAAAGGACCCAGATGTTAAAGGTTTTGTTGATGAGCTTCTAAGTGGTGAACATCTTAAGTCTCCGCTGACTGACTGTGCTAGTAGGACCTCTGCTGCAGGAGATGGGGGAAAAAAGAACAAAAAATCTAAAAATGTTTCCAAGAAAGGTGAGCTTAAGGTTGATGGTGTAGCATTTGGCTCCTCAGTCCCTGACAACAGTGTCTCTGGAGAGAGTATGGAAAAGCTTTCAAGGGACTTTAATACATCACATGTCAGTAACGGTAGCTCAGGAAATCATGATGGTGCTGATAATCATAGCGTAAATGGATCTTTTATAGCTGGTAGAACTGATAAATTGGAGATTTTTCGTATGATGGTACTTGAAAACCTGAGACATTATGCCCTGTCTATCTTAAGGATATCTCGTGGATGGCTGGAAAGGCAACAACCAGTTTTCGCTGCTGTAGTGAGAAATGTTTACAGAGTTCGTAAGTATATACAATTAAAACTTGTTCACACATATCCTGTTGTTCTGAAGTGGCTTTTCCATCTCGGCAACATTCTGCTCCTTGTGTCAATGGTTTGGTTGGATTGTGCTTTTCGTGGCATGGACTCCTTTCTGCGGATGGGAACAACTTCCTTCTTTTCTATCCTGTGGTTCAGCATACTTTCCGTCATTGCAATGATTGGGATGTTCAAGTTTCTATTGGTGTTGGTAAGCCCTTTGTTCACCTATATCATTGTCTAAACTTTAAACTGGGTCCTTTTCATTATACATTTATAAGAATTATATATATATATATATATATATATATATATATATATTGACCCGGCAATGCCCCGGTACATTATACATTTATAAGTTTGATCAAAATTAAGTAAGAAAGGTTAATGTTGAACAATATTTATAAGTGAATGAAAAATATAATAATCTTTCATTAATATATACAAGATATGTCAAATTTAAATTGGTAGGTTATACATATGAATAGTTTTTCAAGTAAACTAAACATTATTATAGAAAATTAAAGTCATGTCAATGAAGAACTTTCAAAGTGACTAAACATTACTACAATGCAATGTGGTGAGAGAAGGGTGATGACACATAGGGTGACACATGGTGCATATGTGGCACTAAATCATAAGGAAGGGTGACACATGGCGTTAGCAAGTTGTCCATATGAATTTTAATAATATTATTATAAATATAGCTATAGATTCCATGCTTTCTTCTGCTCAAGAGGTTTGTTCAAGTGTGTTTCACGGGCTAATCTAGATTTAACATGTACATATGAGGGGTTGTTCGTACCAAATTTAAAGTGAATAATATTCGCCTCTGATCTTTTGCAGCTATGTATTTTTCTATCTTTAATTACCCCACAAAATAAAAATTCTGTATCTGTGAGGTCATCAAGGAGACAGGGACATCCTAAAGGAGCGTACTTGAGCATTGTCTAGTATAATGTGGCTAGATTTTGACATTAGTGAAGTTGTATGGTCTTCCAACTGTTTTAAGAACCATATTCACTGAATGTTGATGTTCATATTCGCTTGAAGGAACAATTTTTAATTTGCTTCCATGATGAAAATGCAACTACAGTACCCATGTTTACCTTATGGGATTATAGGATGTACCACTTCCTTAGTGACAAATTTCTATGCAGGCTTTTGCTGCATTAATTGGAGTTTTGGTGGGCTACATCATTTCATTGTTGGTAATCTTGATTACTGGAGGAGTATTCCTATGGATATATGGAAGTTTTTGGACGACATCTCTTGTCATCGTTCTTGCCGGTGATGGCTCTTAATCTTTTCACGGGTTCGAATTGACTTTATATCTTGGAATATTCAACTATTTTTTCCATAAATTTGACATTCTTCTGGTTCACGTAAACTATGCAGGATTGGCATTTATATTGAGTCGCGAACGCATTTCCTTATCAGTTCTTACTGTATATTCAGTATATTGTGCTTGGGCATATGTTGGATGGCTTGGGGTGCTTTTGGGTTTCAATCTGTCATTCATTTCAAGTGATGCACTTATATACTTCCTGAAAAATAACATAGATGAACGGAAAAGTAAGTCATCTGATCGAGCAGATGGAGTTCAAGGTGATCGAAGCTTTTTTAACGGTGAAGCACAGTTTCAGTACCCGGACGTTGGTTCAGGAAAGTCAATGGATCGTAATGCTGGTGTTGCTTCTACCAGTGGGGCTGATTCTGAGATTACATCTGAAGATGAAGTTGTTCGTTTGTTAAATTGTACTGATCACTACTCAGCATTGGGCTTGTCTCGGTATCAGCAAGTAGATGAGTCTGTACTGAAGAAAGAGTACAGAAAAAAGGTACAATAATGTTCTGTGTTTGTGTTATAGATTGATCTCAGCTTAATGTAATAAACGCAATTACTTATAATTAAGGTCGAATGCTTGAGTATTTTGATTAATGGATGATTGAATTACAACGGATAAGCATAACTTGAGGTTATGAATCTCACAGTAGCTTTATGCTACAAATCTCTCTAGTGTTTACACTCAATTTTCTGGATGATTTCTACTACTGCTACATTACAATACTTATACTCAAGGCATAGATAATACATGTGACCTTAATTAACTAAAATAGAAACCCACAATAGTCATGATTAAAGGGAGCTGCTTTCTTTCCTTAACTTCCCTTTAATTAGCTTTGTCTTGTTGCTCATTGTTCCTTCCAACAATTGACCTTTGCTGTCCCTGTTTTGCGCGCCTGGAATACACCAAAAGTGGTGGTTCCTTGGAGCCGTTGACCCTGCTGACCCAATCCATTACAGTTTGCTTTTGGGTGATGGGTTTATAACCTTATATGTGTCTCCATATGAAATTGATTACCACTTGCACTATTTTGATGTCCCAAAAAGTTGCCACCTTTCCTTTAATAAAGTATAGTTTATGATTTGATTTCTTAATGTAACCTTACTCAAATTAAGTGCTGGGAAGATGATAGAAATAACACAACTGTAGTAATGAATATATGTGTAAAAAAGTCATACCATTAAGTTGTTAATCATGGAACATGGAAGGATTGTTTGGGATTAGTTCTCATTGTTTGGAGGTTCCCTGAGCACCATGCTTGTTTTTCTTTTTAACACTATTATTCTGCTTGTGTACAGCTCTTTAATACATACTTCCTTTTCAGTAAATTTATTTATCTATTTTATTTTATTTTATTTATTTATTTATTTTTTTCATCAGGCTATGCTTGTTCATCCTGATAAAAATATGGGAAATGAAAAGGCTGCAGAAGCTTTTAAGAAACTTCAAAATGCATATGAGGTAATATACTCTCTGTTCTTTTGGTGTTATGCAGAGTTTAACTTTAGCTTCTTATAACTTGTTGGGAAGTTTAATGAAGTTGTATTGTTCTTATAGGTTTTGCTAGATTCTTTGAAGCGAAAAGCTTACGATGATGAACTTAGGAAGGAAGAGTTACTGAGTTATTTCTGTCGGTTTCAGCGTTCTTCTCAAAAGGTTTGATTTGTTTTTATAATTTTGATGTCCCTTTATACAGATTTAGTTCATCTTTGGTTACCCTATGATTTGTCATCTTAAGAGCAACTGCGATCAATAATAATCTGTTTGGATCTGACCAATGGAGTGTGGGAGTTCCAAATTTTTGCAGCCTTTTCCTTTCACCTCTATCTAACCTGAATCAGGATGGTTACTCACTCCTTAATAGACCTGCAAAAATATGTTATTTGAAGTAAAAAATGACTAGAAATAAAAAAACCTGTAATTTTACAAGTAACATATTGATTCTAATAGAAATAGTGGTCTAGTCATAGAGTACTAAGTTTTAGTATTCTCGCGAAAAGGGAAAAAAGCCCCTAATAACAGAAATTGATTGTAATAAGATTCATGGTGCACTTCTCTGCTTTGGCTTTCCAAAGTTAATAATTTACACAATTTTCTTCATTAAACAATTCATTTTTATAATTTCAACATTCCAAGAAGAAACAAATTCATTGTCCCTTCATTTGGACTCACAACTTCTATTCAATTGGGAAACTTTCGGTTTTAACATGAGCTGATTTTGCAAAGAAACTTAAACTAAGCGTGCAATGTAAGTTTTTAGCCTTAATTTTGGAAGATTTTGATTTGTAGAGTGGACGTCATGGCTTCTTTCCTAATGGTTTTGCACGCTCAGAGGGGGATGGAAAAGACCCTCTAGGGGAGGCAAGAAGAATTGCATGCAAGAAGTGTGGGAGCTTTCATATATGGTTACAAACAAAGAAATCTAAATTAAAAGCAAGATGGTGCCAGGTTTGTGCTGTTTATCCTAGTTTTTCTATCACAGCTCCTGTAGAGAACAACTTACCTCTTTATTATTGATATGTATATGCTGATTGCGTATAAAATGCTGAAGGATTGTGAGGAATTACATCAAGCTAAAGATGGGGATGGATGGGTTGAACAGTCTTCCCAACCTTTGCTTTTCGGAATACTACGGAAGGTATTACAGACAACACATATTTATATCTTATGATGACATGGTGCTGATATTTAGTTTTACCTTATTTTCCGGTCTCCTCCCTTCTCTCAAAAGCATACAAAATGAAAAGACAAGGAAGATGTGTAAGCTTGTAGTAGAATATTATGTTGAATAAATGCTGAGTGTGAATATTTCTGTTTCATGCAATTGTCTCTCACATGAAAAAGATGCATTTATTTTTGCTCCAACTGGAGGTTTTTCATTTGATTTTGATGTAAACAACCTGCAGGTTGATGTACCTGTTGCATATGTTTGTGCCGATGGCAGAGTATATGATGCCACTGAGTGGTATATTTGTCAGGTATATATCCTAGCCCTTGTAGGAAACTCGGATTTATGATGTATTGGAAATATTATCTGTAATCAATATTTTGGAATTCAGGAAGAAAATTTCAATTTTTTGTTCCCTGCAATGATGCTATGAATACTGGTTCATTCTTTGCAATCTTTGCATCTTCCATGAGCTTGACTTTCTACTGCTGCAAATTTTCATTGTAGGGATTGAGATGCCCGGCTAACTCACACAAACCAAGTTTTCATGTTAACACTAGCATAACAAAGAACAGTTTTGGGAAAGGATCATCTACATCACATAGAGGTGGTGGGGCGGAGGCAGCAGCAGCAGCAAATATGGAAGAAAATATGAGTGAGGAAGAGTTCTTTGAGTGGTTACAGAACGCTATGCAATCAGGAATGTTTGAGAACTTTGATGGGGTTAATCCGAATGAGAGTTCACAAAGTAGCACCAAAAACGACACAAAAACTGGTAGTGCAAATACTAGTGGTGGTGGTAGTGCTAGCAGCAGTAGGAAAAAGAAAAAGGGTAAAAAACCGTGGTAAACTTAACCAATCTTCCTTTTATGGACCCATCTTAATTCCTGTGAGAGAGCAGGAGAGAGTGTAAATGAAGAGATTCGACATGTCGAATACCCGGTCTTGTAATGTGGTGTGAAAATGTACACTGCAATTGAAAAAGCCATGCGCAGGTTGTATATTTTCTGTTGTTTGACAGTCTTTAGATTATCATTATACAAGACAGAATGTAATGCTCTGAAAGAAATGGCTATTCTGTTTTCCGGAATCGTAAGATCAACAGGCAAAAAAATATAGAAGTTTACCAACCTAGCCTTGTAAATTTAATTCTGATTTTCTTGTATTATCTAATCTAATGCAACTTTAAAATGTCAAGTTAAGCGTTAGGAAATTTTGCTGCATATCACTATATCAGTAATTTGTCTGTGACCGAAGCTAGTTCTAAGCCAACGTGTTTAATCTTCAATCTTTTTAGCACTTCTTACTAGTTTTTGGCTGTGGAAAGTGTTGGGCCTCATTTGATTCATTCAAATGCAAATCACTAATAAATGAAATATATATGTGCTCCTAAATTTTTTTTTATAAGGGATAAGGGATCACCACCTATCAGGCCCGACGAGCGGTCCACGGAGCTGCATCCTTACTCACCTGGTCTATGCACATCGCTTTCTCCAGGAGGTTGGCCGCCTATCCTAGATCTTCCCATTTCCAAGAGGATCCCGGGCTCGATCTGGTTTAGTATCAAGGTGATTCTCTTTCTCTTTCTATATATATGGGTCCGTGCAGCATTTCCACGAAAAACTACCTGATTAATTCAATCCTGCCCGGCCGGCCGGAGATAGTGTAGTTAAAGACAGTGAAGCTAAAGACAGTAGACAGTACCTGATTGATTCAATACTCCTTGCAGCTGGCTGCTCTCCTTAATTTCACAAAGAAAAGAATTGAGTGGTTTTAGCTCCTTGCCCTTAGTGAAGCGAGTTAGTTGTCCTGTTAGCGGTAGCGGAAGATGGTCAAGGTAGCTTACTTCCAAGCCACTGCACCAGATGCGCATGGAGTCTACGTAGTCGGCCCAGAATTTTTCTTCGTTCTCCACTAGGCGAACCCGCCGGGTTAGCTCAACGTAAAGAAAGCTCATTAGGTCAAAACTAAGGGAGTACTTACTAATAGCGAAAGGCTAAGCCGGAACGTCAACCGCAAACGAAGGATGGCCAGGCCCCGGTTCCCGGGCTTAGCTGGTCTTTTCGGATGATCAGCCACACTGGGACTGAGACACGGCCCGGACTCCCACGGGGGGCAGCAGTGGGGAATCTTGGACAATGGGCGAAAGCCCGATCCAGCAATATCGCGTGAGTGAAGAAGGGTAATGCCGCTTGTAAAGCTCTTTCGTTGAGTGCGCGATCATGACAGGACTCGAGGAAGGGTTATAATAAGTAGGATAAATCAATAAAATGGAGTAACATTATATCAAAGTACACTTGATGTTGTTAAATTGATATGAACTTTGCACCAAATTCTAAAATATACTTTGTATAAAATACTTATTACTATACATAATACTCCGTACATGTAATACATCCATCATTAACAAGTTTTATACTTCATCTGTTCTATTAATATTGCAACAAAGAGGAAATTACGCATCCTAAAACACATTTTATACGCTAAATATCTATAATTGTATAAGAGTAAAAATTTAAAAAGTTAATATTATGAAAGTATTTTATGAGACGAATCCAACAAGATCTCACGTGACTTGCTAACGTATAAATCATATTATATGGTCAAATAAGAATGATGAATAGTACAAAAAGTTTATTGTTGCAATATTAATAAAAAGGAGAAGTTATTGCACAAGTCAAAAGGCTATCGCAGTTAGTTCTAAATCATCTCTAGTAAGTTAGTAACAATAGGTCAATAGTATCCCTATTTTTCCTACTCCAGTAGAAGAAGGCGCGCTCCCAGTGTTATCCATATTCCACAGGCAACCCCCAATCCTCCATTACTCAATTCCAATGGAGACCCTTTTTGGTTCATCCTCCAAAGCTACCACTTTTCTCTCTCCTCTCCCTAAAAATTCATCTGGGTTTTCTTCGTCACACAATTATTACTTCAAATTTCGAAATGGGTACTCATCTTTTGGACCAATTTCATCAAATAAGGTACTTTATAGAAGGTCATTAATGGTGGAAGCTAAAACGGGTGACGATAAAAAGAGCAAGAACAATAAGATTGACTCTCATAATTTTGCTCCTAAACCTGATGAAGCTATTGGCCCTTTTCCTGAAGCTGTCTTACTTAGAGAGGTTTACTTTCAATCTTTTCATTAATTTTGCTTCCTATTTTGTAATTTCTATTTGTAATTGTGTATTTGAGATTGTTTGTATTCTTAGTTTCGGCATAATTTTATGATATTTGAGGGTGTTTTTGTTGAGTAATTTGTTAGCTTCTCAAATTTATTTAGCTGGATCCTAATTTCTGCGTAATGAAGTTGGAAATTTCGATTATCGTTAATTATTTCTGTACATGTAATTGATTTTGTAATATTTTTTTCTTCCTCGGGTGAAGTACTTTATAGGTTAGCATTGGTTATACTATGTTACTTGGACTTAGCTACTTAGACACTGGTACATTTCTAAGTGTTGGACTCAGATATTATGTGAAAAGTTTTCATGATTTTGGCCCAAAGTTATGTTTTGAAGTGTCATTACCCATGTCAGTTTGTTAGAGATATGACAATGGGTACTTGGGTGAAATGAAGAGTCTTGGTAACGAAGTTGTGAGCTCAAAAGTGTGCTCACAATTGATGTTGCTGGAATTTCTAGATTGCTTATTGTAGTTGAGTGATGACTTCAATGTTCGATTTCACAAGTAAACTCAACTAAACTACTTATATATTTCCTTGTGTTTTTCAGAAAAATGTTCAGGATGATGGTAGAGCTCTGCCTGAATTTGCTGATGATGAAGAGCGTAAGTGATTTAAATTTGAGATTCTGTCCCTTTGTGTAAAATAAGTTTAGCTATGGCTAAATCTATCTGTTTGTTTTGCAGAAGAACTATTTGAATTTCTAAACCTTCAGCTGGAAAGTGATTTGAATGTTGATCAGAGTAAGCCCATTCAACATTTCAGTTTATTAGTCCATTTGAGAATTTATGTTGGCTATCAGTAATTCAGTATTTCACAACTTAAAGGCCACAGTCCACAAGGCTACAAGTGATGTGAAAGACTATACATGTACTCCTCTTTGTTACACATCCCCCAAATGAAAAGAATAAAATCGACGAATGATGTTGCTCGAGTGGTAATATTGCTATTACCCTTCTTGTTTCTGGCCATTTTTTTTTCAGTCCGCGTTGATTTTTTACTTGCCAATGCCATGTACTTTTTTGTAGTTTTTGACACGGTGATAAAACAGCTATAGTATACATTTTATTGCAATTGAACAGATTAAAATTAACTAACTAGCAGCTCTAAAACAATGAAACTGAAGTAAGGGAGTTCCATGTACCATATATTCGTCTTATTTTTTTGTTCTGTCCGGACTCTAGATTATCTTGCAAGTTTGTGTAGTCAAATTGCACATTATTTTGTGTGGATTCACCATGTTGCTGGTACTTGTATTTATCAAAGAATAGAGCTATGAACAATTGAACACCATCTCCAAATTTAATAGAGGAATAATTTGACTAAAAAATTTTAGTTATAAAAAGTTAATATTTTCCCTAAAGAACTTTTCTCCTGTCCAACTAAGTGGACTTATTGCTGTGTGAAGCTGAATCAAAATGAAGCCAAAATCAGTTGATTTGTTTTAATAAACCCTTGTGTTTTTGTAAAAAAATAAGTTTTTTTTTTTTGGTGGTGGGGGGGGGGGGCCTTTATTAACTGAGAGTTGATCTAAATACATTATCCTAGGAGTTCTTGCCTTCCTCATAGATATTTCTAATGGAATGCGCACCTGTGCAAGTGCCTGTACTGCTATACAATCACTAGTTAAGGAAAGATGAAGGCAGTAAAGAGAGAATAATGAAGATACAAAGATGCTTCTGATTTCTTCTGACATTTCTTTTGCTGTTTTTATGTAATTATCCCCTGTTTGGTTTCACGCATAGAAGTACTCTTACAACGTTACAAGTCTAGAGCTAATACTGCGCTTCTTTATATGACCTTCAGAAGCTATATCCTCATCTATATTTTCCCTTGTCTGATACAGTGCGTCACTATGAAGTGGTTTATTTAATCCATCAAGACTATAAGGACAAGGTTGAAGATGTGAATTCCAAGATACAAGGTAATTAATTGCTATGTATTTCTTTTTATATCAAACATTGCCTTTAGTGTCTGATGGATTTCTTCTCTCATTTTTGACATCAATGCTTGCTATTGCAAACTTGCAATGTGCTAAGTGGGCCATGCCTGTTCAATTTCCTTACTGTTGGAGAACTTGAACCATTCCATAAAGCTCAGTAGAAGATTTATGGAGTTACATGTCTGATGTCTCACTACAAATGTCATGTGCATAAATGTCTGTTTGAGTTTCAACAAAATTAACACTTTAATAAATGTCTGTTTTTTTTTTCCTGAGAAAAGGCAAAAATTTTGTTTATCAACCAACACCAATTGCAATCGGTTATTAATGCAATTTTGAAACCATCTTTTAGTTTGATTGGCATTTTTGTTTGAAAATTGAAGTTTGCTAATGTAAATGGCATGAAGCAATTTTTTTTGAATTTTTTTTATTATTATTTAAATGACAGGCATAGTGACAGGAAACTAATTAGTTTGATGAAGGAAAATTTGATCCTACTGAGTTTCAAATAAACAGATAAGGACTATTTGTTTTAGAGGGTTTAGACTACAGTTTAAGTGGTGCTATTGGTTTTAACATTGTATGTCTCACAGTGTCACACTTTGCTCACTCTTTCAGATTCATGCATGATTTAGGTATATGATTCTGCAATATTATTTCCTTTGTTTATTGAAAAGAATGCTGCATCAGCTACCCTTGAATTTTTAATCTAGCAATGGCATGATTTGGTTGTAGTTTAACACAATGTGACATAATTCATATATATCTTAGAAATTGAGCTCTCTTGTAGGCCTGAAATGTTTCTTAAACTCGACAGTGTTCCTCATAGCACATACTTTTGCAGACTTTTTAAGGGAGAAGAAAGGCAGAGTTTGGAGGTTTAGCGATTGGGGTATGCGAAGACTAGCTTACAAGATACAAAAGACAACACATGCCCACTATATATTGATGAATTTTGAGCTGCCAGCCCAGTGGATAAATGACTTCAAGCAGATGTTAGACCAGGATGAGAGAGTGATTCGTCATCTTGTGATTAAAAGAGAGAAGGCGATCACGGAAGATTGCCCACCCCCTCCGGAGTTTCATACACTACGAGCTGACATGACAGATGAGTTTGAAGTAGACTACGATGATGATGATGAGTGGTATGATGAGGATGACGAAGAATTTGAAGGCGATGAAGATGATACCGGTACTAATGAAGATGTTAACAACAATTATGCTATCAAAGGGACTGATAATAAGGGCAAAGAGAACCTAAAACGTGAGCAGGCAATTAGATAAGACCTCAGTATGTATTATCTTAGGATTGTGCTGTCAGAAAAGCTCAGGACATCAGACACAACTGCTAGAACAAGCCCTGACCATTTTTGTTCAAGAATGCTGGTAACTGTCTGATGGTTATCTCAAAGAGAGATCGATTAATATAATTATGCATCCTTGTGGTTGAAGCACATGAAGCGTGATATGCTTCTACTGTATTTGAATATGATAACGTAAAGCTGTAAGAGTAGCTGATCTGTTTGTGGACTCCCCTGTGGCCCTGTAGCACAATTTATGTTTGTCATCTGCTGCTATTATGCTATGTGCCTATTTATTCAATACGAAGTATTTTGGTTGATTTATTCAAGTAGCAATCTTTAGCAGTCTGACCACTGCACTACCTGCTTTGTGACAGATCAAAACTACATAGATGTATGCATGCTTTTATGAGCGAGTGTGACAGATCAAACCCTAAATAACACTCGCTTTGTGACAGATCAAACCCTAAATAACACTCGCTTTGTGACAGATCAAACCTACATAGATGTATGCTTGCTTTTATAAAAGTACTTCCTGGAAAATACAGTTCAAAGCTCTAGATACCAATGCTTGATCCCTGGAGAGATAACACTCAACCAATAATTAAGAAAGCTACTTAACTTTCTGAACCTAGTTTAAAATATTATAAAGCAGCATAGGTTTGCCTGAAATTGAACACAACTAAGAAGCCTTAGCATGCATAGTCAATGCCCCACTATCATGCCTTCTAAACCATGTATTATTGGCTCTTGGAGGATGAGCTCATAAAAGAAGACGATTTCATGCATATTATAACGCAGCATAGGTTTGCATATGAAGAAATTATGTAAGGTAACTGATCATACAAACTGCACAGCCTCCATAAGACTTCCTTAGCTTAACAGCAGTAGATCACAAATTTCCAGCAAAAATGACACAATAATTCACCTGTCTAATTATGAATATCAAAACTTTGACCAGTGTACTCTAAATGAAAATATGTCCTACGGAGTGCTTTAAAAATAAAATTCCAGAAAACAAGCACTTGTATTAGTTATCCAACTCACTAAGGATAGCTCATATTTAGGTAGACAAGATTTAATAGAAATTAATGCTTCTAGGATAACAATTCATACCCTGTAAGGCTGTAAGTTGTAATGGACAGTCATGTTTCAATCTTCAGTATTTAAAATTGCGGACAGCTGTTGTTTCTCTTCACATGATATTTCTGAAAGAACAAAAGAGTATCAGACATTTGCTGAGATCCTCTTTCTCATAGTAACATTAATGAGAGAGACTAGAAACATACCCTACCTTCTAAGCTGCTCCAAATTATCTGAATGCACCAGCTAGAACCAACAGCAATACCCGGGATTTGGTTCAGATGGCAAGATTAACTCTAAGAGTCATCCCTTGACAGTCTTAATTTCCACAGAATGTATGTAATTTGTTTTGAGAGGAAAGGGCTGCAAGATTATCACAGTACAGTAGGGCATTTTCTATGTACACAAAAACTAAAAACTCTGTTACAAACTTAGAGCTATAGGATGTATATCATTCCCTAAAAGGATTAGGTTGCTAGAATATTTTCCCATTGTCATAGTAAAAAAGCCAAGGTAGTGATCCTCAACCCAATATACCTTAGCACAGAAGGAATTAGTGCACAGAACTTCTGTGTGAAAGTCCTGCTACCATATCCAGTTTATTTATTGATTCTTGGTAGAAAATGTCATATTTGCTGAATAATGTTCGAACTAAATCCTCCCATGAGGCAATATTTGGAGCAAATCCTTCATCCATCACCCTTTGAAGCAAAACTGTAGCATTATCTGTATCATTCCATTTACAATAGCCACATACAAGACAAGTATAAGAAACCAAGTCTGGGCGCCATTCTCCTGCCTTCATTACATCCATTAGTTGAATGGCTCTGTTGATGTCACCATGCTGACAGTAGGCATTAATTAGGGTGTTGAAAGTAATTTTGTCAGGTTTATTTCCCTTTCTCAACATTCTTCCTACCACCACCAGCGCTTCTTTAAACCTACCCAGTTGACAAAGACCATGTATAGTCGTATTGCAAGTTGTTAGATTCCACTTGATCTCCAGTTTTTCCATCTCCCTAAATAGCCCAAAAGCCTCTTCCAAACAGTTTGATTTAAAAAGGCCATCCAAAAGCTCATTGAATGTAGTTGTGTCAGGTAAACAACCATACCTTCCCATTGAAGTAAAAACCTTTAAAGCCCAATCAACTCGTCCACCATGGCATAGTCCTGTTATAAATGTGTCAAATGTTAAAGTATTAGGGGTGCACTTTTCCTGCATCATACACTCAATGAGATCTTGAGCCTGATCAAACATTTCAACTCGACAAAGGGCATCCACCATGCATGTATATGCGACAACATTGGGTTGACAACCACTTCTTATCATCCGATTCCATATTTCAGATGCACCTATCAAATCCTTGGACTTTGCGAAACCATCTATAAGGGTACTGTAGGTTGTCACATTTGGTATACGATGTCTTTTTTCCATTTCATGGAGAAGTGCTACGGCTTCAGCCATGGAACTATTTGAGCAAAGACCGTGTATCAAAGTGTTATAAGCAACTGTATTGGGCATAACTCCCACCCTTACCATCCGATTCCACACATCACACCCTTCATTCAGTCTACCTCTAGAGACAAAACCCTTGATTAATGAAGAAAATGTATAAATATTTGGTTCACATCCTCTGAAAAACATCTTCCCTAAAATAGCCATAGACAACTCAACCATCCCAGCATCACATAGAGCATTAATTACTATTGTATATGTTATCTCATTCGCATCAACACTTTTTTCAGCCATTTCATTCAACAAAGCAAATGCCTCCACAAAGTTGCAATCTCGACAATACCCACTAATCAAAGCATTATAAACCGGTACAACCGCACCAAAAGACTCAGCAATTTCCTTAGCTTCCTGGACCTTCCCACCCTTACAAAGGGATGATACAATTGTTGTATAGCTCACATCATCGGGGGCACAACCCTTATTAGACATTTCCTTAAGGAGTTTACGTGCACCATCTACATGACCATTTTTACACAATGCTTTCAAAAGCACATTATAAGTAAACACATTAGGTTCAACCCCATCTTTCTTCATATTACTATACAGGGGATTAATCATCTTAAACCTATTCTCAGCAAGCAAAGCATCCAACAAATGATTATAAATCTTAACCGTCGGCTTACAATCTAAATCTCGAATCCTATAAAACATTTTCAAGGCCTGCTCAGCTAAACCCATATCCTTATAATAACTAATCAAATCAATAAACAACTCCTCAGAACAATTAACACCCTCTAATTTCATCTGTTGCAACAAATACTGAACCCCATCTAAATCCCCATGTTTCCCAAGCTTTTGAACCATGATTCTATAAGTTTCAGGGGTGTGTTTGAAAGAATTTGAATTGGAAATATGCTTAAAATAGCTCAAAGCTAAGCTAATATCATATTCTTTTCTCAAATTCTTAACTACTGTATATTCATTGAAATTGTTTTTGTTGGTTTCAAGGTAAGGTTTAGGATCAGGAATTGGATTTCTTTTGTTAAGAAGAAATGGAATTGAGGGTTTTTGAATTTTCAATAATAAGGAGCACCCATCTTTCATATACATGTTTATAATCAAAAACTCGAATTGGGAACAAATATTAAGCAGAAATTAACACACTTGGCCAGAAAATGGGGAGTTCTGAAAACTGAGAAATTGTTACCTGGAATGGGAAGCTGGCTGTGTTGGGTTTTCAATTGCTGGGGACTGGAGAGCGTGGACTTCAACTTTGCAATTAACAAAGAGGAAAATTTGCAAATTGCAACCATTTAAAGTTCGTATTTTGCAAATTACAGCCTAAAAGTTCATATAAATTGTAAATTGCAGCCCGATTTAACATTTTCATCGGCTTACAAGTTGAAAAATCTTTCATTAAGGTTTTAGGGGTCATTTTAGGCCTTAAGGGTCCGTATTGAGCTCGGAATTAGCAAAAAAATAACGCAAATATCTCGTTTTGCGTAACAAAAATGTATCGATTTGTGGGAAACTGTAAATATGAGACACTTACGTTATTTTTTTGCTAATTCCGAGCTCAATTCAGGTCCCTAAGTACTAAAATGACCCCTACAACCTTAACTAAAGATTTTTCAACATGTAAACCGATGAAAAAATTGAATCGGGTTGCAATTTACAATTTATACGAACTTTTGGGCTGCAATTTGCGAAAAAAAAAATTAAATGGCTGCAATTTGCAAAATACGAACTTTAAATGGCTGCAATTTGCAAATTTTCCTAACAAAGAATGAAGGAATGTATAATTGTAGAACATAGTAAACCAAACTTGAATAAAATTCACTTTATTCAAGTTGGCTGAGGTAAAGGCTCTAGAGTATGGGCTATAGTTGGCAGCTAGAATGGGCCCAAGCAAACTGCAAATTCAACTTGACAGCCAAGCTTTAGTGTTAACATTAAAGAATGCAAATCCTTATGTAGGTGAAGCAGTTCATAGCATTGCAAGGTGCAAGAAGATTTTAGAAGAAACTAACTGGCAATTCGAAGTTCATCATATTTACCGAGAAGCTAACAGAGCAGCTGATTTGCTAGCCAATCAAGGAGTGTCCCAGAACAACAACATAGAGTTGATTCAACCCCCCTTTAGCTTTAGGGAGAATTTTACATGATGATGTCGTAGGTGTGACTTTATCACGTTTTGTTCCCCCGTAATTCTTTTATTTTAGTTTGTTTCCTCGGGGCTTTGCCCCTCATTTGCACCAAAAAAATAAAATAAAATAAAATTCACTTTACCTAAGTGGAGGTAATTTCATGTTTTTGTTATTTTCAGTGAGTGGGGGCAAGATTGTAATTTTCATAAAGTGGGGGCAAGATTGTAATTTTCATAAAGTGGGGGCAAGATTGTAATTTTCAGTGATGACAAAAGTCGCTTTTATTATTATTATTATTATTATTATTGTTATTATTATTATTATTATTATTTTAACGAAAGCGATAACAGAAGTTAACTTTGTGAATAATGACACTAAGGTCTTAATAAGGAGGGTGGGGATTTAAAAGAGAATTTGGGTGATTTTAGAAGCTTCAATAGTGATTTCAGAAGCTTAAAGTCTGTTTCATTGGAGGAACACAACACCTCTATCCTCTAGGATTGACCATGTCCTTTATTTTTCCCTTTTTCTTAGAATTTTCGTTTAATTTGGGGGCGAAGTCGCCGAAAATGGTGATGGAGAAGAAGAAGATGGAAGTGTCGGTGTCGTTGGAAATGGTGAAAATGGTATTTTTGATGGAAGGTGAGGTGAGTAAGGATGATGAAGATGAAGGCGAATAGAAAGAGGAGAGAAGAAGGTGAAGGTGGATGCCTAGATGGGAAAAGAAGGAAGAAGAAGGGACGAAGAAGATGATATAAGAAAAAACAGTGATAATAAAATACTCCATATTAATAAATATACTTTTATTTATATTTATATCATTAGAGAACATTCAATCCCAACATGGCTAACTATGGCGCGCATGATGTTCCATTGTTAGCCGCCTTAGTAAGTTCAAAATTTTATTATAAAAATTGCATGCTGGTTGATTTTAATATGCTATTAGTACTAATAATTCTTAATTATATTCCTTTTTAATCTCCATGTTTGCATGCATCTATTATTTTCCATAAACCCTCATGCCCTCATTAATTAGTAATAATTTAATCATTTCACAAATTAAATATACTTAAGCTATTCAAAATTTCAAACTACGGGCATGTTCTCTTCAACTTAATTTCAGTTCAGTTCAGCTCCATCGTTTCAGATCAGTTCCATCAGTTCAGTTCAGTTTCTAATTTCCTTCTCTTATAAAATATTCATTTCAGTTCAGTTCAGTTCAACTCCAATCAGTTCAGTTCAGCTTAGATCAGTAAATTAAATCACAACATGCCTCTACTACTCGAACTGAAAAAAGCCCCAAGCTTATCACTTCTCGAGTTTTCATACTAAAAAAAAAGTTCTTAGGTTCACCAGTATTATTATGTTATTATTCACATATGATTGGATAAGTACTTGCCTATAACCTATATATACCTCATAACAAGAAGACAAGGTTGGAATTACCCAATATAATTTCTAATCAAGTTTTGGTTATATATAAAAAGTTACGTTTTAATACTTTATAGTACTTTCGTAACATACAAGATAAAAGTTACCTTTAATTGATAATTTCATCTCTAACCAAATGTTTGTTACATGCGAAATCATATATGATATATATTTTGATAGTTTATAGTACTTTCGTATCAACAAGATCAAACTTTTGTTACAAATATAAAGTTACGTATGTCTTAATACTATTATCATGGTAATATTTATCGTAGCAAATTAAACTACTCATAATAGATTGGGGGAATTATTATTTTAAAATCTCACCGTCATAAATGGAAGACAAACATCCATATAATAATAAATTAGACCCAACAAATTGAGATCAGATTTTGCCAAAATAAATGGCAACTACAAACTACACTATCTTCTTCTTTTTTTTTTTTTTCTTTTTCTTTTAGGGAACTACACTACCTATATACATGCCTAAACGCAATAAATCTAAAAGTATGACCAAAAATAGTCGTAAATTAATATGAAGTATTTCGTATAATCCAAGATATAATCCAAGAGGCATAAACTTAGGATCTTGACTAAGCATAAATGTAACAACCTCAAATCCTACAATTTTTACACGTACAATTGCTTACGTTAGAGGATTTTGTTCCCATGTATATATAAATATAGGTCCCATTATTCTCATTTCTCATCAACTATAACACATTACATTACCTTAGAACTTATTTTAGAGGGAGCTTAGGTTAAATTAATTAAAATTGTATTTAATTAACCTTAAAAAAATGGCATTGCCTTTCACCTTAAAGTTGATAGTTATACCTTTTCTTATTTTAATTAATGTATTATGCTTATCGAAAGGTGTTAGTAGTTCATCAAAAATTGTTGAACACCAAAGAAAATCGGTACAATCCAATATCCCAACATGGGATACAAATTATTTGGAGTTCCCATTGAATTTGGAATACTTAGAAGTTGAGTTTTTCTTATGGGGTTCTATTGGAAGGGGATTAGACACAATTGCCCCTGAACTTGCGGAGGGAGGTCCTCCTCCAATTGGAGTTAGAAAAGCCTTTCTTGACCCTTTCACTAATGATGTTATCGCCCAATTTGCCCTCCAAGAAGTTGGTCATTTAAGGTTAGTTTCATTGTAATTAATATTATTATTATTTAGAATAAAAATAATTACAAAACTTATCATATATTCATGATCAGCAAAATTTATATTCATTAAAAAAAATGATCAGTAAAATTTATCGATTTCATGTTAATATTGAAATTTTGTACGTACATGCATAATCAATTCCACAAACCATACTTCACTGACCTCAACTAACTAGAGAGCTAAGTAACCATCCAACATAGACTTTTAAACAAAATGGACTATAAACATGCATAGGATGTTGTTCAATTGATCGAAAGTTAAGATTATTCGTTTTAAGAAGACCATAAAAGATCAATTAGGTTCAAATTGTTAATTTCACTTTATATAGTCCCTTTTTGCTAAAGGTGATGATTTATTTGTGTGTAGAGCAATCAAGGAAGTGGTGAAGGGATTTCCAAGACCAACATTGAATCTAAGTAGTGCACAATTTAGTGAAGTGGTGAACTCAGCATTTGAACACCCACTCTTTCCACCATTTGACCCTTATAGAAATTCAATAAATTACCTTCTTGCCTCTTATTTGATTCCCTACGTTGGTCTTACTGGTTACGTGGGCACTATTCCCAAGCTTCTTTCCGTTGAATCCAGAAAAGTATGTAGTAGCTAGTACTTTTATATGTTTTCCTTCTTCACTACTTAATTTTTGGCCTTATTTTGATTTGTTAGTCTATTTATTCTATTTAATAATTAACTATCACGTCTAGCTAATTGCACGTACGATACATGCTTTATATTTTAAATTATGTATACGACAATCATGTTAAAAGTGTAAGATTGTAAACGTAGTTTACCTCTAATATGTGTATAAACAACTTCATGACTTGATAGTGTTTATATTGCTTGTTGACTGTTGAACATTCACAATCTTTATCTTACAAGGGTCATATAAAAGGAAATATATGTACACGATAAAAGTCCAAAATTAATTAGAGAAAGTGGTCTATTATTTTAAGATGAACTAATATAATATGTTAGTGATCTAAGGAATACGTACTAGATTACTTCATATTACATACTTAATTGTATGTGTTCTTAAATCTTAATTACATGTTACTTCATATTTTGACTCCCATATTTTGTTCCCCCTCCATGCATATTTTCTTCGACCTCCCATAAGCAACTTCACAACTCGATAGTGTTTGTTTTGCCTACCTATTGACTATTGAGCATTCACCCAATCTTTGTCTTATAAATATTTTTTTGGAGTTTGAATTACAAGGGTCATATTAAAGGTAATATATACTATAAAAGTTCAAAATTAATTAGAGAAAGTGGTCTATCATTCTAAGACGAACTAATATAAAATGTCACTTCTAATGTGTTAGTGATCCAAGCAATACATACTAGATTACTTCATATTGCGTACTTTAAAATTGTATGTGTTCTTAATTACGTACTACTTCATATTTTGACCTCCCATATTTTCTTCCCCTTCCCATAAAACCAGCTAGTAGCAGGATTGCTAGCAGTGAAATCAGGCCAAGACGCAGTGATCCGATCATTGCTCTACCAACGACGATTACAAAGGGTGGTACCTTACAAAATAACTGTGCAAGAGTTCACGAACCGACTTTCAAAACTAAGGAACAAGCTAGGGAGTGACCTAGGCTCAAGGGATGAAGGCATATTCGTGGACCAGAAAGACGGTGCAGAAGGCAAGATTAAGGGAAATATACTTGTAGGGGATGAGAACTCTTTGGGGTACCCTAGAAGTCCAATAGAAGTATTAAACATTGTGTATGGAAGTGGTGATCCGAAGAAAGTTGGTGGGTTTTTTCCTAAAGGTGCTGATGGTTACATTGCACAATCCTATCTTTAACCTAAGAATGCTACTTCGAATGATGATAGATTAAATTGATTGATTTTAGAAAAAATTGGCCGCAACAACACCAATTCAACTATGATAAAGGTGCGTGCAGCAGCACAACTTTTTAAGGGTGCGGCATACATCACAAACTATGTAATTGGGTGCACATATTAGCAAAAATGACTCTAATAAACTAAGGTTCCATGGAAAAAAGTGGAATATTAATTATTTATATGATTGTTAAAACATTATTTAAACTTATATGATTTCCCATCATGCGTGATTAAATTAGCCTTACTTTCTATCTATTTTTTTCATTTAAGCATTTCTTAACCTCCACCATTTTATTAAGCGGATTCCTTCAAAAAAAAATAAAAAAGTTGTGCTATTATTTTCCTTTGTTTGCATCTCCAATTACTTTTTCCTAATATCGATCTCACATGATTGACTTAGTTTCCTTTCCTTTTCCACTTAGTTAAATACTAAATTGATAAATAAAAAAAAAAAATCATTTGAATACCTTTATTCTATAAGATTTCAGGATACATAGGTAACTTTCTAATACCAAACCCCACAAAATGATTTTAAATACTTAATTCAAAACATAAAATTAGAATTGGATTTTAGGATATGCCAAATTGATTTTCTTGTTTTTGATGTACAATTGTGGAGGTTGAGAGAGCTAGAATAATTCAAAGGGAAAAAATTAATTGTAATGGAAGAGAAACTAAGTCAATCATCACATGAGATGTTGAAAAAAGTAATTGAAGAAACAAATGATAGAAAATAATGGCGATTTTTTTTTTTTTTTTGAAATAATTCAATTTAGTGGTTACTTAATTACATGAGATGGAAAATTAAGTAGAATGGAATGAAACAAAAATGGTTTCAAAAAAAAAAAAAATGAAACAAAAATATATTTAAACAAAAAGGCATTAAAAATATTTAAGATTTCTCTTTCATAATATATAATAAGAAATCTAAATTTTGCCAATGTCATTTATGTTGTTATGTGCACCCAAGTGCATAGTTTGTGATGTTTAGATTTCAGTGCACCCTCGAAAGGTTGCGTTGCTACACGCACCTTTGTCATAGTTAGTGTTGTTGCGCCCAATTTTTCCTTGATTTTAAAGATGGTAATTATTAGGAGACTTTGTCATTTTTTCAAGGTTATTTTTATTTTTATAATTTTTTTTTTTAATTTTATTATATCTACTAGTATATATATTTTAAGGTTTATAGTTTAGAGTTTTATCTAGAGAAATAATTTATTCTGTGTTTTGATTTTACAATGCAAGGATTTAGAATGTTCATGTTCATTTTGTTTTGGACAAATTTGTTAAGGTAAATATTGAGCAAGTTATGAATTTTAGTGAGTTATTCAACTGGTGAGTAATTGATGAATACGTATTATAAGTCTAACTTTGTGGAAATATATATAATGAATTAATGTTTATTGATGAGTATGTGGCATGTGGGTTAATAATAAGCCCCCAAACTCTTCATTAGTGCTTGTGAATTTACAAGGATTCACCAAGTTATGAGTAAATACTAAATACTGCCATCATTTTGAATTGATCGCAATATGAGACTTGACATACAATTTAAGGAAAAATAAATATAGAGTAGGCAAGACTCAAAGAGTTGTTATCAAATACATATAGAGTTGATGGAACCGATAAATAATGCATATGCATGATAATGGACTAGTGAATAAAGGATCTGAAATATATGTCCATTTTGATGTCGACATAATGATAATCATCATAAGTTTATCAAGGACCAGAAGTTCAATGAAATATGGATTTTCAAATCCGCACTGTACAGTGCTTACATTATTTTGAGTCTTATGTTCATGTGCATATGTGAGTCATAGGTTAACGGATACTTATTGCATGTGTAGGAAGTTGTTAGATGCATTACTCATTGTATATTTTGTTCAATATTTATCATGATTTCGATATCGCATATTGCATGCACTAATTTCTATATAATTATTGTGGTATGTGTGAATGTTCGTCCAAAATATAATATGATTTATTTACAACATTGATATGAACTTTCAAAGAGATATTTATATTTCAGTGGGCTTACAGTTGTGATGAAATTGTTAATGACATCGATTTAATATCATGTAAGAAAAGTTCCTAAATAACTTGTATGCAACGTATTTATAGCCCTACAAATTTTTTATTTTGAATATTGTAATTTTTATCAAACTTTCGTTTACGTGACTAAATCATTGACATCTTAACCTAAAGATTGAGCATATAAAAGTTAGTGAGATTTATTAGAAAGTGTGCACGGCCTATAATTGGACAATCTTATAAAGATTCAACCCATTTATTTTTTTGGGTAATGTAAGGGCTACATATAAACATTAAATATAATCTTGGAAATTGTATAAAATTAGGAATTCATGACAAAAACACGCGTAAATCAGTGTTATTATTAGTGTTTATATTTTGACGATTTCTTAACTTTTTACGACTTTCAAGTGTAAATTTAATGCTTATATGTAGCCCTAACGGCTATAGCTCTATAGCCGTAAGGGTTATACATAACATTTTCCTTATTTTTTTATTAGACGGATATATCTCTTTAATAACTTTGGCGGGTCATAGCATAGGGATCCATAGAATTGCTCTCTCTGAGATAGTGAGATATCCATTGAAGCGCACTCAACGTTCTCCATTGAAGCGCAGTTGGCGTGAATCTAGTTCTTGTATCCCCCATTGAAGCAGCTTCTGACTTCTGAGGTAAGTTGTTTGTATTTGTTATCATCATATCAAATATCCCTAAAATTATGAGATCGATAATTGAATCAAATATCCCTAAAGTTATGAATCAAATTTGGTTGCTAATGTATTGCACAACACTTTAATTTTAGGATTTAACTATGAAATCAGAGCTCTTTCCCTGGGCCCAGGGCTGCCCTGCCTCAGGGACGGGCCTGTTTTTAGGATGATTTGGTCAGAGATCGGAGATATAGATGAGTTTGTGGAATTGGGTATTTTCTGATTATGGTCATCTGAATGTGTGTTGGTATTTGGCTGCTCACATAGGAGACTTATGGAGCTTTTGAGCTTATTTCCAATGATTGAGCTTAAATTGCAAAATCTAAGCCTTAATCGGGACATCCTCAGAAGCAATAGTATCGCTAGCAAGCTTCAAAAGAAATGGGCCTACAACAAGGGAAGATTCATCTAAATTGAGTGGGATTTTTTGTGGGTTTAATGGAGGAGAGAAAAAGTGTTGGTGGTGGAGTTTTAGCAGAGCATGGCATTTTTTTGGGGTAGAATTGGAGCAGAGAGAAAGAGAGGATGAAATTGAAAGGAAGTAGATGAAGATTGAAGAGCTTTGGGTTTGAATTGCTGGGTCAGAGCGGGGTCTCCGGCGGGGCAGAGAGGGGCTGATGGGTTCGGTTCGGCGGGGGTGAGGGGTTCTAGGCAGCGGCTGGGGATGGGGAGGGGGCTGCCGCCATGGGAGAGGGCTGCCTGGTGGTGATGACTTGGTGAGGATGGTTTTTGTTTTTTTTTTTAAAAAAAATTTAGCAATTAGCTTAATTATTAAATAGTTGGTGAGAGTTATGAGTAATTAGAATAATTAAAGTGAAATTAGTGGTTAATTGAGCGATTAGAGATCTTCAACAAAAATATTTTACAAAGTGGTTTCTCCTTGCCAAAATTTTTTTATAAGGTTTTTTCCAACAAAATAGATGTTATAAATGGTTTTTTCTGACAAAATTTCCTTATTAAAGTAACATAGAAAAACCTAGGGGGAGGGACGGGAGTTGTTGGCCCGGGCATTCAAGAGGAGCTCGAGCTAATTTCTATAAACCATGCTATGATTCTGCCAATTTAGAGGAAAGGAAGTGAGAGTTTTGTCCGTAATATGACTAGTTTGTTGTTGACCTTAGATTTGTCCATGATAAACTTGCTGTTTACTATAGATTCGTTTTTTCTTTTTTTGCAGGCCGTGGTATTCGTTTTGTTATAAGAGAAAAGCATGTCTGCAGACGCTACATCTAGTGTATATTCCCAGAATCTTAAAGGGGACCTTAATGCACCTTACATCAATGCTGAGAATGTGCAGAGTAATATGAAAGTCATCTATTACAGGTACATCTTCACATAAGCTGGCAGGTTCTGGTTCTATTTCAGTTGTAGCCTCTTAAAAGTTATATTATCACTGGCATCACGCTATCACATCAAGAAAGAAATACGTTTGAATTATAGAGCAAGATGAAGCTTGTATGGTACATAATTTTGTAAGGAGAATGGATGTTGATTTTTGCACTAGAATAAGGCATATTAGGAACATTCGCTGTTTCTATAGGCTAAAATCAATAGGTTTAAATTTTGAATTGTAGCCTTTTAAGGCTAAACTTTCTAAGCAAGAATGTTTTGGAACTGTAGTGTTCATGTTGGTCAAGTATCAAACTCTACCACAATGCCCTGTTAGCCTATTTTCTGCTCTGCATTGTTTGAAATCAGTAATCTTCCTGAGTCCTAAGTCCTAATTTCTCAATGATTTTGCCCTCCTTCCCCTTTTCTTATCCCCTTTTGGCTTGACAAACACCACTCATACTGCTTATACTAAGATGGTCAAAGGTGACCTTAAGGCTTAACAAGTGAAACTTAGCTAAATTAGAAAAACATAAATCAACATCATAGAAATAAGGTTGCTTTCTTCCTTCTCTTCTTCTTAATTGATTTTGTCTCTTGCTCTTTGTTGCTTGTGTTGGCTCAAGTCTCTTCAAGTTTCCTCCTTTGTTGCCGTTGTTGTCCTTGTGGTTCGATTGCCGCATCTTGACCCTTTACGTGATCCATCACATTACCCGCCGCCTCAAGATTCACCTTGTACTCAAGGTGGAACTTAGGGAGACGATGTGTCAGCCTCCAAAGTCGGTTCGCCGGTGAGGGTGATTGGTAGCCCAGCCATGGTGCATTGCATTTCTTGAGTCTTCCAGTTAATGACCATCATCCCCAATTTCTCTAACCATTATATCCCCAAAATAAGATCGGCGTTCCCCAATTGTAAGCGGAAAAAATTCTTCCACAATCGTCACACCGCCATCCATTTTCAAGGTCAACCTTTCACACACACCTCTTCCTTTGGCAGTCGCTCCATTTCCTCTTCGTTTCCTAAAGTCACACTGAAAGTGTTCCCCCTTTTCACCGGGATTGCCGCCTTTTCCACCACCATCATAGAAATAAAATTATGGGTTGCCCCCGGATCAATCATTACCACAACTCCCTGCCCCTCAACTTCTTCCTTTAGTGTCATGATTTTCGGGTTGGATGCATCCATCATGGTGCCAAAGAATCCTTTAATTGCCGCTCCACCCTCTACAATTTCAGCACTTTCTTCTCCCTCATCATCGTCATTGGCCGCCACTGAGCTCCTTTCGCGCACATCGATGACCCACTCTCCATTGTTTGTCACAACGGAAACATAACCCTTTTGCTCATCGTTCTTGAAGCTTAGATTCTGTGAGCCTCCTCGTCTCATTGCTTTTGCTAATAGAAGTCACTGGGCTTGGCAAGATTAATTGAACCTTGAGATTCTGGTGGGACCTCAGGCCATGTTTTTGCTGGTCTGGATTGTCTTGGGATTCTATAAGTCTGAATCAACCCAAAATTCCTACCTCTACCATTTGAGTTTGTGGGATTTAAGGACCTAGTTTTGACCCACTTTGAAATAAGCCCAATCCACTTCCACTAACATGACTGACCCTATTTCTCTCTTCAATCCTCCCTCCCGGATTCATGGCGTTCTCCAAGGTGGATGGGTTCAACGGAGTTCCGCCTTAATGTCATCCTTCAACCCATTCACGAACTGTCCCTTCATCAAATTTTCTGGCACATCTTCAAGTGGGAAGGCCATCTCGATGAATTTTTGCCGGTATTCCTCCACCGACGTCGTCTAAGTTACGGTTAACCACTGCTCGTGTATTGTTTTGGCGTGGGTTGGTCAGAACTCCTTCAATAATCGCTGCCTCAGGTCCGTCTAGAAAAGAATTGGTCGTCGCCTCTGCTCCCGTTGAAACCATTGCAGCGCCGGGCCATCCATCGCCACTACGACCGCTGAAATTTTATCCTCCTCCGTCAACCGATAGAAATCGAAATACATCTTAGCCCTCATGACCCAATTATCCTGATCTTTCCCTTCAAACGCCGGCATGTCAAGCTTCTTGTGCTTCCATCGATTTGTCCACCTTCGCAGATCTCTTCTCCTGGCATTCCGAATTTCTCAGCGAAAGGTGGGCGCACCTCGTCTTCTCGGTGTTCGTTTAGAATGTGGTGGCTCTCGGCCTGTTGGGGTCGCGGTTGAGGGTCTCCTTGAACCGCCTTCAACTCTTCCTGCAATTTGTCCACCTTTCTTCGATCAAAGGGCTTGATGTTCCATGTCGATACAGAACCGGTCTAAACGTCCTTCGAGTTTGGTGGAGCTATTCGCCAGCACCTCTTCCATCTTTTTCCTTTTGGCTTCAAACAAGGTTGAGAAATGTTCGGACATGGCGGCATTCACCTGTTCGGACATGGTTTTCCGGGCATCCGCCATGGCGGCATTCACCACTTCCGCCACGCTCAGAGGCACCTTGGCCATCGAGTTTTCCCTCGATCGTCGTCAACCTAACTCAATTTCCTCCACCTTTTAATCCAACACGTCTGCGCGCTGCGACAAAGGTACCACCATTTTTGGTACCACCATTTTTTTTAATACTTCAGATATCATAGTGGAGGTTTTCGGCCTATGACCACCAGAAATGTTGCTCTGATGCCAAGTTGTTATGGACTGGGTTTGTTAAACGAAATTCATTCAAATTAGAAGAAGGACTGGTTGTTTATAGAAGCAATCGAAAGCTTACAAGTGATAGTGGTAGTAGCTTGAAGCTACAAGTCTCCAAGCAACTTGAGGTTGCAACTCTCGAGTGTTTGCCTTACAATTTTCTGGATGCCTTTCTACTAACACTACTCATACTACTTATACTAAGATGGTCAAAGATGACCTTAAGGCTTAACATGTGAAACTTAGCTAAATTAGAAAAACATAAATCAACATCATAGAAATAAGGTTGCTTTCTTTCCTTCTCTTCTTCTTAATTGATTTTGTCTCTTGCTCTTTGTTGCTTGTGTTGGCTCAAGTCTCTTCAAGTTTCCTCCTTTGTTGCCGTTTGTTGTCCTTGTGGTTCGATTGCCGCATCTTGACCCTTTACGTGATCCATCACAGGATGATCGTTGACTATAAGCTGCTGGATTTTTAGCTAATTTATTTTGTATATGATCTTTCAATTTTTCTGTCTTCTAATTTATATTCTAGACCATTGTCCCACGAAAAATAATACTTCATCTTTTTTTAGTTGCATCACTTTCCTAAAAAGGAGGTTTAAAATTAGTTGCATGACTTTCCTTCTTAACTAATAAATTCTCTCTATCTCTCTCTTACCACATGGGCCCCGTTTATTTTTTCTCTCTACCTCTCTCTACTCCAAACATTGCCTACGAGTCCTTAAAAACAAAAGTGATGCAACTAAAAAACGGAGGAAGTAGTGAATTTATCAATAGATTTTTTTTCCTGCACACTCTATAATTATGATCCATCTGTATTTCTATTCGTATTTTTTCGTATTTTGGTATGGCTCTGTGGATGTTTAAAATTGTGCGCCAGGTGACTTTGGGAGTTTGGGGAATTTCAGAAAGCTATGATCTTTTTCTAGTTTATCGTCTAAGTAACAATACATTTCTTTGTTAGTTTGTGAATTTTGACTTCCTGTGATGCAAGTACAAAATGCATCTGATGAAGCTTTGACCATTTTGTTTTCTCTGTCTGCAGCCGGACATTTATGTCAATAGTAGGAGGAATCATTGCTGGGATTCTTGGATTTACTGGACTAACTGGGTTTATATTCTACTTTCTTGTGATGGCGGTAACTTCAGTGGGACTTACAGCCAAGGCGAAATTCTCAATTCATACTTACTTTGATAGCTGGAATCGCATTTTGCTCGATGGCTTCTTAGGTGGCCTTATGGTACTGTTCTCTTTTGTTTACTAGTTTCTTTGTTCTCTATTCATCTTCAACCAATCCTCATAGGATTTTTATAAGTAAATTTCACCTTTACATTTAGGCATTTTAGAGAGACAAAGGACCTGAAATGTTTTCCACTTTTCCTTGTTGTACAGAGAATATATTAGTTTTAACCGTTAAGTCGAGTTTTATTATACTGTTCTAATAAGCCAAGAAAGGAGAGGGATAAGGCCATTCGAGTCTGCACAAAGAAACTTTCATGTAATGAATGGAGTTTTGTTTCCATTTTGTTTGACTTCTCTTTTACCAATCAAATGCCATGGTCACTCTCTTTCAGTTCACTGTTTTCTCTAGGCGTGTCAGTTTTTTGTTATGTCTCATTATTTCAATTATATAAGACAATGAACATTTGGTTTCTAGCATTCTGGCCTTCCAGCAGCTCCTTTCAATTGTTTCCTGTGAAGTATGCTCGCATATTAAGCTCATATTATTATGCTTTAAAAAAAAAACAAAATCTTTGTCATTACCTTTTCATTAATGAGTTTCTTTTGGTCTTATGCAGTCGTTCGTGCTGTTTTGGACGTATCCTTCTTACAAGTTAGGTTTTTATTTTCTACTTGGTTGAGAGATCTGTTTTGTTTTCTACTTGTATCTTTTGCATGTATAAATATGGTTAACTTAGGGCTGGCAAACAGGTCGGGTTGGGTTGGGTTCGGGTCGACCTGTTTAATAAACAGGTCAAGACCCCCCCAACCTGAACCCGACCTGTTTACTTAAACAGGTCAGAATGGCGAACCTGAACCCGACCTGGTTTAAACGGGTTGACCTGATTTCAACCCGTTTGACCTTTTTTTTTTTTTTTTTTAAATAAAAACCCGATTATTCTTACAATATAATGATAAAAAAAAGTCGTATATTTAACTTGTTATTTTGCATAAAACTTTGGTGTATAAACCTATCAATTTAAGCATAATAAAAATACATTCAAGTAAAACTAACCATAGTTTACACATAATAATTTACAGTACAGTCCAAAATCAAAATCAATGTCTTAAGGAGGCAATATTCCCAACAAAATAAAAATTAGATCTTGGAAAACTTCATCAGGTTTGACTAGTTGCTAGTCTTGCTACTGACTTTGAGGTGCGCTCTCAAATGGGCTTGGTGTATTGGCTTCATCATTCACCTTCATTATAAACAAAGAGCATAATGCAAAAAATAATCTAATAAAAATGAAAAAACAAAGTAACAAATGCATGCATAGAAATATATGTGTTCGGGTTGTCGGGTCGGGTCAGTTTTTGCCAGCTCTAGGTTAACGGTAGAGCTAAGAGTGTTTCTAATGTCCTTTACTATTCATCTTATACACTCTATTTTACTATGTTCATGTCTTTATCACTGAGCTTTTACTACATGCTATCCAATAGTCAATACACCACTTTTAAATTCAAAGAGGTATAATTTAAGAAAACTTGTGTTGCTACTTTAAATATATGTGCATTGTAGACAAGGTGATATATAGTATCTCTTATATTAAATATAGATTCGGTTAATGCCAAGTGAAATCCCTCGAGGCATTTAGAATTCCTCAAGTCAAGGTTCGCCTGGATATGGTGTAAAAATCATGGGGGTAGAATTTGATGGAGAACAAATTACTAGGAAACTAATTTGGGGGAGCTATATTTCAGGGCTCTATTTTTTTATTTGTTTGGCATGAGGGTAATAAAATCACTTGTAATTCACTTTGCTAAAAAATATTAAAGAAATTGTTTGTTTGTTGTTGTTTATTTTTTTTATTACTACTGAAAAAATATTGAAATCGCAAGAAAAAAAAATATTGAATCTTATTCCAAATCATACGGTAAATCAATTTCTTCAAAAGAAAATAAAACAATAATTTAAGATACCTAAAAGATAGATCTCATAGATTTAATAATAAAATTAAAATTAAGATCGAAGGAAAAAAAAATGAATTTAAGATATTGTTTTATTATTGAAATACAAATATTAAAACTAGAAAGAATAAAAAACACTATGATTTCACGTCAACGATCAGAATGTTTTCAATCAATCAATCAAAGTCTTAATCCCATAAGCGGGGTCGACCACTTAAACCAAATTTGATTAGGAAAAATTAACAACAATAAGTTAACCTTTGAGTGGTCTTCTAATATTAAGTTCAACTTTAAGTAATTAAAAAACAAGTCTAACTTTAATGTCTATTTTACATAAGTAAGTTTAACTTTAATGTCCATAGATATGCTTTCCCATGGACGTGTCGGGAAGATGATCTAAGAGACCCCTAGATTTTTAAGATCAACTTTGTCCTATTGACGAACCAAGCAAATCTGGGTGTAATTGATGACATCTTTTTTCATTCCCGGCTAATAATACCCCATGGAGAGTAAGCTGGGTGCCGAGGCCATATGGTATCATGACATTCTTTGAAGAGTATCTTCCGTAGGCCTCCCGTTCGGTATGAATAGCTTGTTGCCCTTAGTGTAAATGAGCTCATCATCCATCCAAAATCGTCTTGTTTTTCCTTCTTTTATCACCCTTTAATGGTGTTCGTCTTGGGATCTTTTGAGAGGTGTTGTTTGTCTTGTTCTTTGACCGAGGTGATATCATTAAGCTGGCATAGAGGGGGGGATAATCTTGGTAGGGGGGCAAATCGACACGATAACTCAAGGCATAGCCGACTCTATTACTAGCTTCTTCTTGTATGTAAACTTCACATCGAATTTTGCAAGTATCTCCTGCAGGCTTGTCTCCCCTTTAATTTTGGTTGGGTGAGGAAGTAAGTGGACGTGTTATCTGTGTGAACAAAGAACTTTGCCCCAACAAGTAATGTCTCCACTCCTTCAAGCAATGAACGATTGCTAGAAGTTCTTTTTTCTTATGCCGCATACCTCCTCGCTGCGTCATTCAACTTTTAACTTCGTCATTCAACTTTCAACTTTCATAAGCGATTGGGTGGCCTTCTTTCAGTATGACCCCGCCAACGTGAAGTTAGACGCGTCTATCTCGACTTCTAAAGGTTTGTTGGTGTTAGGGAGCACTAAGACCGACTCCTTCATTACTGCTTCTTTGAGCTTGAGAAAGCCCGTTATTGTTTCTCTAACCAATTCCACTTGTTGTCTTTCTTCAACAAGTCCGTGAGAGGACTCGCTATTTCTGAATGAAGCAGCGATAGTAATTGGCCAATCCCTAGAACAACCTTAATTCAGAGATGTTCTTTGGAGCTTGCCAATCACTAATGGCTTGAATTTTCTTAGAATCCATCCTTATACGACATCCTACTACTAAATGTCCAAGGAAGCTTACTTATTTTGGCGCAAAAGCACATTTCTCTCGCTTCACGAACATATGATGTTGTCTCAATTTCTCTAACACCTTTCTCAAGTGCTCTAAGTGATCTTCAAGGGTGTTGTTGAAGATTACAATGTCGCCTAAGTAAACAACCACAAACTTGTCAAGGTAGTTGTGGAAACCTGGTTTATTAAGGTGCAAAATGTTGTGGGAGCGTTTGTTAGCCCAAATGGCAAGCAGTCTTTGGTTTATAGCTAATCGAACAAGTTTGCCACCAAGGGTATTGGGTAATGGTTCCTCACAGTCAGCTTGTTTAAGGCCCTATAGTCGATGCACAATCTACTCCTGCTAATTCTGAATAAGGACTAGTGCTCCATAAGGAGCGCTAAGCGCTTAACCCGGCTTCTAACAACCCATCTAGCTATTTTCGCAACTCTGCAAGTTTCGAAGGGGGCGAGTTCCGAAGGGGGCATCCGATAAGGACTTCGCACAAGCGGTCTAGCTTTCGGTACCAATTCAATACTGTGATCTATGCCTCTATGAGGAGGGAGAGATTTCAGGAGCTTCTTTGGAAGGATATCCGCATATTGACTGAACAACTTTTCTACAATCTCATGGATGTCTCCCCCGAGCTCCTCATCCTTCATCGAAAATGTGGCAAGGAACGTAGGCTTGCTTCTTTTCATTCCCTTTTTGAGTTGCATTGTAGAGAGGAGGGGATCATTAATTCTATTCCTTCTTAACCACGAGCATGAGTCCGCAGGAGGCAAGGTTGGTTGCTTGCTTGTCACAAGGACCCTAGGTGGGGTATCGGGATAATTTTATTGGTGTAGAAGAAATCCATCCCAAGGACCACTTCAAAATCATCTATGGTTGCCACCGTAAAGTCCGAACTCCCACTCTAGTCCTTAATCTTAGTATTTACGTTCTTTGCCACCTGTGAGTCATGCACCTTCAGAGTTTATTGTTTTCATGTGACTACCACTATGCACGGCTTTTAGCCCTAATCTGTTCGCCTCAATCTATGTGACAAAATTATGAGTAGCTCCTCTATCAACCATCATTGGGCTTTCTTCCCATTTATCAATACATCTACGTACATGTTGCACGACCCCCCTTCTCTCTCGAAGTCTCTTTTTCCATAGCATACATATAATACATTATGTGCTCTCTTTTTCCATAGCATACATATAATACATTATGTGCTCTTCTTCGCTGACCATATCTTCCTCTTTGTCTCCCCCTCGACAAGGGAGAGTTTCTTCTAAAAATTATCGATCACCCCTTTGTGCCGACATTCAACCATTTATGAGGCCCACGACAAAGTATGCAAGTGAGGGGTTTGTTCCATAATGATGAGTCGGAAGACCCACCTTTGTTTGTGGACAAGGCGGCCTTGTTCTTTCGCGAATCCTCTCCCCTATTCCTGGATCACTATTCGAGCTAACCTACAAATTTCCAATGGTTCTCTTTGGGATATTTGATTGTGACCCACCATTTTTCTTCTTATCGGATGAGTAATCCATCAACCTTCATATTCCGATGATATATCTCTCTTTGAGCCAAATCTTTCAAGTCCTACACAAAGTTGAATAGACGGTCCTTCTCAAACATGTCATGGATCTCTAACATGCACGTCGAACATTCTTTCACATATTCTCGAATAGAGGTCTTGTGCTGCAGGGTTGCAATTCAGTGTTCTCTAAATAGAATTGCGCCATGAGTTCCTTCTTCATATCCTCTCAAGTATCTACCAATGTCCTTTCTGCTTGGATGTTGGCGTAGTTGGTGAGCTACCATAGTTTAGCGTCTTCCACCGAATACATCGTGGCAGTACGATCTGCCATTAGCTCGTCCTCCAACTGACATATAAGGAAGTATTGTTCCATGTCGAAGATGAAGTTATCGACTTCTTTTGAATCTCTAGTGCCGTTCAAAGAACCTTTCTTGGCACCTTATCATATGACTTCTCTAAAGCAGTAAAGACCATATGAAAATCCTTCTTTACCCTTTGAAAGTCCATCATTTGTCTTATCAAATGGATTGCTTCCATAGTAGATCTCCCAAACAGAAAACCAAATTGGTTATCCTGGGCATGCCCTTTGCCTCCTTATACGTTGTAAAGGTTTCGTCATTCCTACATTTTCTTAAGGCTTGATAGCATTCTCTTTATTTTGCTTAATTACTGCTTTTTACCTCTTCATTCCACCACGAAGTATCTCTCTGCATCGAAGTTCTCCATATTGATTCCTCTAAGAGTCCACCAAGTCATGTCTGGATTCACCTCTTCATCCCTATCTGCCTTTTTCATTACCTTTTTTTTTTTTTTTTTTATAAAAATTTAAGCATTTGCATCCCTTAGAGTCCACCATCTTATCATTGGCTCCTCTTGTCTTCCTTTTTTCTTCCCCTTCTCTTTTAAACAAATAGTCATAACCAAAAGTTGTTGGGTGACCACACTCTTTCTTGGAATGACCTTATAGTTTAAACAACTTTGTCTATTAGTGAGCAGGAAGTCTGTTAGTATTGCATTTGCTCCACTTCGGAAAGTTAACAAGTGTAAATCTCACTTCTTAAACCAAGTATTAGTAAAAAATAAATCATAAAATTGGGCTAAATCCATAATAGCCTCACCACCTACGTCCCTCTGCCCATACCCAAAGCCTCCATGAATACTCTCGTAGCCATCTTGGCTCACCCCAACATGCCCTTTTAGATCACCTCCAATATATCTAAATCCTCCAAAAATTGTCATTTTTGTTCCGCATCTAAACCAACTTAACTAACTTGGGAAGCATAAGCACTAATAACATTCACAATCTCTTTGCTACATAGCAACTTCACCCTTATCAACCTGTCATTCTTCTAATAAACCTCGATTACCTCTTTTAACAACCTCTCATCAAGAAACACACCAACTTCATTCCTAACTCAACCATTCCTAGTCATGTGATTCATGACCTGTCAACGTACCACACCTTGTACCCCAAAACCAAGCATCGAGCTCCTTTGCTTGTCCACCTTGTCTCTTGGAGGTACAAGATGTTTACACGTCTTCTCTTCATCACTTCTACCACTTCTGCTGAATTCTCCGTAAGAGACCCCACATTTCAAGAACCAATCCGTAAATTAAATTCCTTTCTCCTACGCTCCCTCATACCCCGCACACTCGTACCACACTCCCTCATGCCCCCAAGCCCTTGATCATTTACCACCACACTTGGGCAATGTGGCGCGTCGCTTCCGGGCGACGACCTAGCAACCCTTGCATACTTCTCACTGCACCAGGGTCTAGGAAGTACAGTGCGTCGCTGAGTAGGGAACGTTTCCACGAAAATATCAGCAATGATTGAAAAAAAAAAAAATCAGAAATACAATTGAAATTAAAAATAAAATTGAATACCTAATTAAAGAATTATGAATAATTTACTTGGATTTGGAAGGTTGCATGCAGTAATAATGTCATGGAGGAAAGAAGGTCGGAGTAAACTTCAATGGAAGTGATGAGCGATCAGAGGTGGAAAGAGAGAGATGAAAGAAGGTTGGGCTTTACATTTTACTAGGTGAATTGTTACACTAGGGGGGGGGGGTTTCGAGGTGGGGGAGGGGTTTAAGGGGAGGGGAAACGGAGGGAGAAGGGGCTGGGGGTAGGGGAGGGGGTGTCGGAGGGTGGGGGTGGCCTCGCCGGCGATTATGGACCACCGGCGCAGGGGGAGGGGTGGGATCTGGCGTGGTGGCGGTGGTGGCTGGTGGTGTATTACCCTCAAAATGGGGGGAATTATTACTGAGGTAATTAATTAACCCCATTTCAGGTACTAGGTTTAAGTCCATATTCATTACACCATTAATTCTTACTGCCCAATTCCCTCAATCCAGGCGGACCCTCAATACTCTTCTACCTGCTGGAGCTGTCAACCTGTGTGCTAATGTCTTAATTGTCTTAGTGAGTATAGTATTGTTAAGTTTCATAAATCTTGTCAGTTGAAATTAAGCAGTCTCTTATGCAAGATGCTGATTAGTATTGCTTTTAGGTCCTGAATACCAGCCTTTAAGCACAGTCTGAAGTCTGAACATTGTTCTATTACTGTAATTGCTTATGCATATATATACTGTAAAACAACACTAGCTTATAGTTACTGTGCTACCAAAATGTTGACGATGCATTAAAACCTGCTGCTTGTTTCCTTGACAATAAGTAGATTTGCCTATGACATTGTGCACATCTTTTGATGGACTGCATGTTACAAGACTAAGAGTCGCTGTTGTTGCTGCTGCTGCTGCTCCCCTTGCAGCCCCAATTTGCATTGCTGTTTCCATATTCAGAATTTTTAATGGAACTCACACTCTCTTTCAGCAGATGTCATTTCCAGTTTCTTATGATATTCTAGGTCAATTTTGACTTTGCTAGTCTTTTTGTTTGAGGAACTTACAGCTGATGGGAGTTTCAGTTATATTTGTTATTGATGTAGACAGATTACTTGAGTAGAAAAGCTTGACACATGTTTCACTCTTTTTTAAAAGACTTGAAGATAAATAACTTTATATTCTTTTTTTCTTATTATGTATGTAGTATTATATTTATGTAGTATTATATTCTAGTAAGGAATTTAGGTGCAGTTTCTTACCATTCCTCTCGGTAGATTTTATATGGCAACATGGTGGCATCAATAAACTTTCATTTAGAATCCGGCGTGGCCACAATATAGTAATGTGGCCATCATCCGTATTTAGATTGTGATAATGACATGTGCCTACACTTACGAATTTGGATCTTTATAATGTCTTTTGTTCAAGAAAGATATTCAAATGAAACATGCTCACATAAGGGTAGTTTAGAAAGATGTTTTGTGCAACATTTCCCATCCACACAAGCGTAATTTTCAATGTACAACCAATTGTACAAAGTAATGGTTTTACTGAGGGTATTTCTTTGCCCACGTACTTGTACCTTATGAGCACACAGGTACAAGGTGTAAGGCACAATCAGTTGTATGAAGACTCTTGCTGACATTCCTGTTTCTGAAATACAAAGTACTTGTATTAATTATTGCCTACTGTCATTAGAAGCTGTCACTTCCAAGGTGAAGTCTGCATTCACTAATAATATACTGTTTTACATAGATCACTAACCAACTCATACAATTCTACACTTGATAGTTTGCTATAGCATTCAAATAAAATGTAAGTGACTGTCAGCTGATGTTAAAATCAAAGAGGTGACACCACGCATAGTTCATAGAGCACAATTAATTTACCATAAAAGCTGCAACAAAAGAGTCATCCTAACCACATCTAACACTTGATAATTTTTAGCATATTACATCTGGATTTGGGAGTATATAAAAAGAATGGCTATAAAATGAATGTAACATTTTTTCTTGTACGCACGTGTTCACCAGCCTTTCAGATTACTCCTGTACACAAATCAGAAAGACTTGGCCTCAATTTCATCGTGGTTTCATACGAATAGTATATTCTGATTTTCTTTTTCGGATACGTTTTTTCGTGATAGATGATAACATATCAATGTCTAAGCAATTATGTAGACTTGGATTCTGCAAGCATCTTCAATACTTATACAGCTCTTTAATCACACCTGTTGACAAACAAAAATATACACCAGATGAGACTCAGCACAAACATCAAATAAGATTTTTAATTTTGTCTATTAAGCAGCAAAGCACAACAAAAGAATCAACACCCCCACCTCACCTCAAATGAAGAGGGAGAGGTCGAGGAGTAGCAAAAGGGGGAAAATGAGAAAGAGAAAATCATGGGATAACCCTGAGATGTGATAAATTCACAAGGTACCCTTTTTCTTTAACTTTGTAACCGAGGAACCTATAAGATGATGCATAATAGTACAGCATACATAGCTCTGGAAAACACACACACGCGGAAAAAAAAAAAAAAAAGAAGTCACCATCCTTATAGCTATAGGCCTGTAGCCGACTGGTAAAGTGTGCACCGTCAACTAATGAAGAGTATAATGCGGACAAAAGTGCACAAAGTTAAAGTAAATTAATGTTAACTACAAAAGGAAATTAGAGGACTGAACACACTGTACGTAACATCAAATGCTCAAGCTTGAGTATACATTTGAGCACAGTTAAGGAAAAAGAAAAAATGGCACCCTGTGAATTTCTTGAATCCACATCCATAAGCCCATAACCCAAGAATTATACCAAAATATACAAACAGAATTTATTTTGAGATAGAGAATATTGCTAAATTCATCCAATGCTGGGAAACAGTGATTAAAAGACCATTCAAGTACAACCAATTTTTAGTAATAGAAACAACTATGAAACCGAGTAAGAAATTTATGGAGAATAAAAATGCTATCATGAGCAAATGAGCTTCTACAGAACGCAAACCCATAACAGATAATAGAACCTTTTTAAGAAGTTATTCTCACCATTATCTGAGGGACTTTTAGTAGCATTAGTGACAGTGTGTAGAGAACACAAGAGATGGCCAAAGCTGCAACTATGTTGTTCGTTAGCCTTTTGTCATCTTTGCTTGGAAGAAATGCCACTTTTAATGTATTAGTTAATTCAAATAGCCTATATGAAACCTGCACACATTTAGCAACACAATGAAAAGTGTTGAAAAGGCATACAAACAAACAAAATTAAAAAGTAATTAACTTACTGCTACATAAATGCTAGTAACGAGCATGAAGTTCAGCAGCGGGTAATCTGGGATAAATGACAGCAACAACTTGGGTTGTCCATCAGGCACACTAGATCTGAAAATGAAGCAATGGACTGAATTTATTATTACTTAAACTGAGTTAGATAATGAACTCCAAGACTAAACAAAATGGGTATAAAAAAAAATATGGACTCTTCAAGGCCATAAAATGAGAATAAGCCGGAATGGAGACAACATCGCATGTCAATCTCAATTCTCAAGCAATTCACCAGATAATAATTCCAGCAGATAACTAACATATTACCAATATAAGATGATCAGTGTAATACCTTAGCCATATGTGAAACTGGGATATGTAAGTCTCCAATGTGATTTTGCCCAGCCATCTGCGAAACCAAAATCAACCACAATTAAGACTGCAAAGACCACCGATATCACGATATCATTACATTTTATTCCAAATTTAACCATACATGGATAGTCTTGAAGGCTACTTACGCAAAAAGTGTTAACGAGTAGCTTCGGAAGTGCTGGGTAACATTCCTCAAGCATATGTAGACACTGATGACAGAAATTACGAAGAAATCGGGATTTCAAAGTTAAGGTTTCAGCAATTAAGGTTACAGATAGGGTAACTGATACTTACGTAATTGGGATCCACGAGGTGTAAGGATGATACTTATTGTATGTAACCTTATCTAGCTTGTATATGTGCTCAAACCAGATATACCCTACCTAAAGGTCAGAGTGAGATTATGTCATCATCCCAGCTTTTATCAACATAAAGTTTCTTTACAATAGATGGCCAATGATACAAATTAGGGATATTACCGACAGAGAGCTAATCACGACAGCTGCTTTAATAGCTATTTTCCGTTTCACTTCTGCTTCCTCCAGTTTCTCCATCCACCGCTCAACCTGTAATAAAAATATTTAGAACTTGAGACATGAAGGGCAGCTCAACAGCCCAAAAGACCTATAAATCAATATAAACTATCCAAAAGTTTCTAATAAGTAATGCCATTTCCATACCACAAGACTCTAGTGAAGTTGCTTGTAGAAATGGGAGGAAAAGGAAAAAGAGCTAAAAAAGAGAAAGATAGGTAATGAACTTCACCATGGGGTGATAATAAGCATATATCATTCCAATTATCCATATGTAGCGATCAAGGCCTGAGCGAAAGTGCCATTCATACAAGATAGAACGATTTGGTCTTGCAGGATCAACATAACCTTCAGTTTCAGAACATTTGTAAGATCTAGAGAGTCAATATGAAGAATAGATTTAAATTGAAGGCACCCATTTTAGACAAATATATTTACCAAGAAGAAAAGTGAATGGGCTCCAGAGCAGTTCAAACACCCCAGGTATTTCCCAAATCAGTATAACAGTCAGAAAACAAGCACCCATTTTTACAGCCATGATCCATCCAATCTCATTATATTTGTGCAGAATGCCAAGAGCACCATAAACCATTAGAGTAAAAAGAGTATGCATTGGGCATATGTAATACAACATATAACTGTTGTTTAGGACAATGCAGCAAAATATCACCAAGAAATTGAGCCGCCACATCATCTGCTTGTGCAGAAACATAAATCAGAAGCAATTCAACAAGTAAGTATCGCAGATTTAATATCCCAATTTAAGCGAATCGCACCTGAGCAAACCTCACAAAGCTAAAATCCTTGCGGATATAATAATAGGAGAAGTTCCCGAATCCAGTCATCCATACATAAGCAGCAATGAAAACACGGATAGCATTATAAACCTCAGTAGCAGCAAAATAGTGGTACATCAGAAAAAGCACCTGCCAGGGAAAATTACAAATGGCTGAGAATCGAAGAAAGAACCCATAAAATGAGACAATACCCCATACATCATTTTCTACTGAAGAACGTGCATCGAAGTAGAATATAAAGCCAACAGAAAATAAAACTCATTTAATCATACAAAGAGGAACAATCAATGTTAAGAGGAACAAACCTGCATCCAGCCTTTCCATTCTTCAGTTTGATGCCTATTCAGATAAAGAATAGATTTTCCAGAAAATGGTGATCTGTCCGTATGTATTGTAAATGATGTAATAGCTGCAACAATAATAAGTAGAAAGTAGAGAAACAAGAATAGATCTCGATTGTAATCCTGCATCCAAAATTGACAACAAAGGATTCAGAAGCTAAGGTCAGATGCTCAGATCTAACAATTGATAGAGGTTAAAAATAAAAAATAAAAATAAAAAAAAAAACAAGAAACTGCATGCATATTAAGTATTTACAGATAGCAGTATATAACTACATGCATTAAAATTAGCCACTCTGCCTTCTAATCTAGTTTCTATTTACAATTTTACACTTGTTAAAGCAAAAGCATAACAAGATGGAAGGAGAGTACCTTTTTAGATTCACCAAAAAGATTTGTACGGTCACAGAAGTAGAAGTAACCCAAAAAGAGACCGAACTCAGACCTGAACAAAACTCAAACAAAAAATTCAATCTACAATGACCACCTGAACAAGTCTTAACATACAAGAAGCACAATGAAAATTCATTTACTCACATAGCTCTCAATGTCAACCGATTATCAAGCAAGAAAGTCTCGTCCATTAAAAGAAACCTGAACACATAAGACAGTGACTCATCAGAACAAAGTAGAACGCAAACTTCTGAAACAACTCTTTAATTGAGAAGAAAGCCAATCTTTGAACCTTGAGATATGATGCATGAAAGATTCATTTCGAGCTCCCAAAGGCACTGAATTTGTTCCTCCGCCTTCCAGCAAAACAGCATTCTCATTTTCCTCAGTTGCACTTGCACCATTTCTAATCTCAACCAGATTGACTTCAGAATGCCTGCTAAAAGAACATAGAAGGCAATAATATTTATATAACCCAAAGAGTA